CCGCGCTCAGCACTCTCAACACCGCGCTCAACACTCTCAACACCGCGCTCAACACTCTCAACACCGCGCTCAACACTCTCAACACCGCGCTCAACACTCTCAACACCGCGCTCAACACTCTCAACACCGCGCTCAACACTCTCAACACCGCGCTCAGCGCCCTCAACACCGCGCTCAACACTCTCAACACCGCGCTCAGCGCTCTCAACACCGCGCTCAACACTCTCAACACCGCGCTCAGCGCCCTCAACACCGCGCTCAACACTCTCAACACCGCGCTCAACACTCTCAACACCGCGCTCAACACTCTCAACACCGCGCTCAGCACTCTCAACACCGCGCTCAACACTCTCAACACCGCGCTCAACACTCTCAACACCGCGCTCAACACTCTCAACACCGCGCTCAACACTCTCAACACCGCGCTCAACACTCTCAACACCGCGCTCAACACTCTCAACACCGCGCTCAACACTCTCAACACCGCGCTCAACACTCTCAACACCGCGCTCAACACTCTCAACACCGCGCTCAACACTCTCAACACCGCGCTCAGCGCCCTCAACACCGCGCTCAACACTCTCAACACCGCGCTCAACACTCTCAACACCGCGCTCAGCGCCCTCAACACCGCGCTCAACACTCTCAACACCGCGCTCAACACTCTCAACACCGCGCTCAGCGCCCTCAACACCGCGCTCAACACTCTCAACACCGCGCTCAACACTCTCAACACCGCGCTCAGCGCCCTCAACACCGCGCTCAACACTCTCAACACCGCGCTCAACACTCTCAACACCGCGCTCAACACTCTCAACACCGCGCTCAGCGCCCTCAACACCGCGCTCAACACTCTCAACACCGCGCTCAGCGCCCTCAACACCGCGCTCAACACTCTCAACACCGCGCTCAACACTCTCAACACCGCGCTCAGCGCCCTCAACACCGCGCTCAACACTCTCAACACCGCGCTCAGCGCCCTCAACACCGCGCTCAACACTCTCAACACCGCGCTCAACACTCTCAACACCGCGCTCAGCGCCCTCAACACCGCGCTCAACACTCTCAACACCGCGCTCAACACTCTCAACACCGCGCTCAACACTCTCAACACCGCGCTCAGCACCCTCAACACCGCGCTCAACACTCTCAACACCGCGCTCAGCACTCTCAACACCGCGCTCAACACTCTCAACACCGCGCTCAACACTCTCAACACCGCGCTCAACACTCTCAACACCGCGCTCAACACTCTCAACACCGCGCTCAACACTCTCAACACCGCGCTCAACACTCTCAACACCGCGCTCAACACTCTCAACACCGCGCTCAGCGCCCTCAACACCGCGCTCAACACTCTCAACACCGCGCTCAGCGCCCTCAACACCGCGCTCAACACTCTCAACACCGCGCTCAACACTCTCAACACCGCGCTCAGCACCCTCAACACCGCGCTCAACACTCTCAACACCGCGCTCAACACTCTCAACACCGCGCTCAACACTCTCAACACCGCGCTCAGCACTCTCAACACCGCGCTCAACACTCTCAACACCGCGCTCAACACTCTCAACACCGCGCTCAACACTCTCAACACCGCGCTCAACACTCTCAACACCGCGCTCAACACTCTCAACACCGCGCTCAACACTCTCAACACCGCGCTCAACACTCTCAACACCGCGCTCAGCACCCTCAACACCGCGCTCAACACTCTCAACACCGCGCTCAGCGCCCTCAACACCGCGCTCAACACTCTCAACACCGCGCTCAGCACCCTCAACACCGCGCTCAACACTCTCAACACCGCGCTCAACACTCTCAACACCGCGCTCAACACTCTCAACACCGCGCTCAACACTCTCAACACCGCGCTCAACACTCTCATCACCGCGCTCAACACTCTCAACACCGCGCTCAACACTCTCAACACCGCGCTCAACACTCTCAACACCGCGCTCAACACTCTCAACACCGCGCTCAACACTCTCAACACCGCGCTCAACACTCTCATCACCGCGCTCAACACTCTCAACACCGCGCTCAACACTCTCATCACCGCGCTCAACACTCTCAACACCGCGCTCAGCGCCCTCAACACCGCGCTCAACACTCTCAACACCGCGCTCAGCACCCTCAACACCGCGCTCAGCGCCCTCAACACCGCGCTCAACACTCTCAACACCGCGCTCAACACTCTCAACACCGCGCTCAACACTCTCAACACCGCGCTCAACACTCTCAACACCGCGCTCAGCGCCCTCAACACCGCGCTCAACATTCTCAACACCACGCTCAACACTCTCAACACCGCGCTCAACACTCTCATCACCGCGCTCAACACTCTCAACACCGCGCTCAACACTCTCAACACCGCGCTCAACACTCAACAGCACTCTCAACACCGCGCTCAACACTTTCAACACCGCGCTCAACACTCAACAGCACTCTCATCACCGCGCTCAACACTCTCAACACCGCGCTCAACACTCAACAGCACTCTCACACCGCGCTCAACACTCTCAACACCGCCCTCAACACTCTCATCACCGTGCTCAACACTCTCAACACTCTCATCACCGTGCTCAACACTCTCAACACTCTCATCACCGTGCTCAACACTCTCAACACTCTCATCACCGTGCTCAACACTCTCAACACTCTCATCACCGCGCTCAACACTCTCAACACCGCGCTCAACACCATGGGGTTAGATTTCTGTCACAATTCTGCGTTTCCATTTCGCACGCACATGGACTGAGTTTTGTGGAGAAATGTTCATCTCACAGATAAGAAAATATTTCGAGCGAACGAAAATCAACTTTGCATTTAAAATAAGTATAGACGTTCTCTTTCGCATGTGCAAAGATTCACCTTCTTGCTCCTCTCATACCAGCCATAAGCGCTCTCGAAGCGCAGACGGCTCGCGTGCTCAACACAACCCAGCGTTACAATATGCCATAATTCCAGCCAATCAGAGATGAGGCTGTTAAATTCTGATTAGCTTGCTTGAAAACCAATCACAAGACTCCCTGCATCACCGACTGTGGATGAGGAAAAAGTCATGGGAAAAATACATGGTGGAAGATGTTTGTTTAATTTGTTTAATAACACTTTATTTAAAGGGTAAGTAAACCACTGGTCAGAGCCTGACTCCACCCACTTGCAATATTTGAAAAATGCTGAAAAAATGGGCTGAGCGGGGGGCGTGCACCTGAGACCCGCAGTGAGTGACCGTTGCTGTCAGACTCTAAAATGGAGAGTGACTGGAGTGACGCAAGTAGCTTTGCAACAGAGCGGCCGTTTGAAGTTGAGGACTTTTCTCCCCCACCTTCACCTGAAGTGGAGGAGGGTGAATTGTCTGTGGACACAGGGCCAAATCCATTCGAGCCGCTGGCTTAAACTGCGGTCTTAACTCCCGCATCTGTTGAGTTCTGTCGAGTTGATCTCAATAGCGCACGCTCTGTAGGCATATGTTCATATTGATATTTTGTGAAAAAATCCAGCAAAATGCGCCGGCACGTTTGTTGACCCCAGAGGATTTACTTTAGCCTAACCATAAATTGTGCCTAACCATATCAGGCTAACAATACACTATTTTAGAATTCATTATTCAATTTTGCTTGTAACAATGCAATTAATCGCTAGAAAATCATGTGATTAAACAGACAAGACCTAGTTGAAGAAGACCACTGTCTAAGGCCCTGTATGTACCTTGGTATGCAGGCAACTAACGATCAATGTAACCTCACCTGTATCATGCCTCCTACCTAATTAATCCTCATTTAGTGACTCACACTTTGATGTACATCACCTTCTAGAATGCAGTGTGGATGTGTTATCTGAGCATTAATGAAGGTATAACCATGCTTGGGACAAAGACTCGTAAATTAACTAGAGCAACCTTCCCACTCTGACATTTCATTGTGCTTATTGGTCCAGTCAACCTTTAGGGGTTGGATCTTTCTCAGGCTTTATAAGAGACAGTCCACATATGACCTCCCTCTCTTAGTTTCTCATCCAGCTGCAACACTGTTTCTGGTGATACTGGAGAAGCCCCTCCACGGGGGCCCGAGGGCCCAGCAGGCCTTAATCTAACCAGATATGGGCTCATCCAGGAGAGAGAAGACTCTTTTACAAAGAACCAAGGACAATCTCAAGAGTTGGGAACCAGGACTCCAACCAACAACGACTCCAATCACCCACTCCTCCGACTTCTTCACTTCTAGGTGCTTGTCGTGGCCTCAACAGGGCCCAAGCCTTGAGCCAACCAGCCATGTTCTCATGGAGAAAGATTACTACTTATTACAACGACTTCAATTTTCCACAACTTCAAGAATTGTTCCCCCTACAAATGCAAGTATTCAATTCAATGAAATGTGAACGTGAAATGCTGTTGATTCCTCTCAGTCAGATGGATCTTCTTCATCGTTACATCATTCCATTTTTCACTCCTTTTTCCTACAAATGTATTTATGTTTGTCTGTTTAGTTAATTCATGTTTATGATTTAGTTAATAAAACTTGTACACTTTATGTATTTGGTTCTGATTCACTGCTTGCAAACAAATTCTCTTTTGCTACATGTTCAATGTTGTACATGCTAAGAAATAATTATTCTTCTGAGGCCATGGAAGATACCCTTTCCTTAGAATAAAGTAATAATAATCAAAAGAGTTTGTTGGATGAACTGATTAATTGATTTTAATATCAATTTAGCCATGTCAAGTTAATCCGGTATATGACCATAATTAATAAAAAAAATCATAATTAATCAAAACAAGTTATTGTTTATTGTAATATTGTATATTATTATTGATTATCAATATTATAGCTAAGTCCATTCCTTAAAGTTTAGAATGTAAAAAAAAGATCAGATAGGGAAAGCTCTGGCGTAGTGTAGATGTGGCGTAAGACCTTGAATCTCCCATTCCAACCACTGGATGTAAATGAGCTGAAATAACGTTTAGATGTTCTTCCCTGTTCCTCTCTCACTTTCAGGACATTTCTACAAAGTCAATGTTCCTGTAATGGTCACGCGAGGAGCTCAGCATGTCCTGACCCGACCCGCTCCGACCCGCATTGAGCAGAATTCCAACCCGGTGTCTCGGCCCATGGCCGTTGCTCGCAGCATCCCGGTCCATCTGTCCGTTCCCTGTCCTCCAGAGCCGTCTGGGTGTGTAGCGCCTGAGACCCTGCCGAATCTGCCGCAACCGTTGCACCATCAGCTCTGCCAACAAACCGACGACAAACCCTCCCCATCAGCCTCTGACAGTCAGAGCGAGTTCAACCTTGACGACATCGAGTTCAGCCCGCAGCCCCTCGACATGAGCGCCTCGTCGTTCTTCACTCCGCCGGCACAGGGGCCGCGCTCGGATTATCCCCGGGATGTGATGGAGACGGCCTTAAAAGAGCCAGACGGAGCAGCTGATGCATCAACTCCTCTTCCAGACTTGAAGGCTGAAACTAATCATGACATTAAGGTAAACGTCAATGCAACATGCAAGACAACGATAAATATGAAACCAGTGTTGTGTACTAGTCATTTCTACCTCCAAATAGAGATGGCAGACAAAATAAAAGCCCCAAAACAATATGAAGGTAAGTGTTATCTGACAAGTTTCTGGAATTAAATGTTTTACATGCAATGGGCTTCATGCACAGCTGCACTACTTCCTGAACTTCAGCCAGCTCCTTGTTTCCTGTCTGTCATTATTGGCCAAATTGATTAATTCAGGTGTGTCTGATTATTGTTGCCATGACTACTGAGGTCAAGCACACCTGAACTAATTAATTTGGCCAATAATGGCAGACAGGAAACAAGGAGCTGGCTGAAGTTCAGGAAGTAGTGCAGCTGTGCATAAAGCCAATTAGGAAAACAGCAGCTTTTTAATACATTCTCTATTCTTAATAGGAACTTTATTCTTCTTTATGTTGTTGCTTTTTGCTGCCTGCACCTACATTTTGGGGCATCTCGCCCGGAGGGGGAGTTTTTTTACAACACGTTTTTTGATGGAAAAGTGATTTCCATAGTCTTTGTTTAGTGAACGAAAGTGAAATCTGGAATTGCTGTCTTTCAGTTTGTTTATCGTTGTACAAGATGTGCTGTAGCCTTAATTACAATGGCCCAGGCGCGTTTCATACTAACAGATGAATAGGCTTCTCTCAGTTTATTAAATACATCCAACCTGAAATGTCTCTTACAAACTATGAAGGGACAATGAATCAATCAATACACTGACATGGCAATGCTAGACAGATAGCCTAACTTGCTTTGTTTGCACAGCCTTACCGTGATTTTGTCACTCTTCTCTCCACTCCATGACCTACGTCTGGTGACAGCGGGGAAACTTTTACCTCGATAAAGTTAGGCCTACTTATTGTATTGTAGAAAAGTAAACTTCCATTAAACTCCAACTAACCAGTTCATGTTTCTTCTTTGTTCAAGCAGTAACGACTAATTAGACTCAATATATTACAGGTGGAATTATGAAATAGAAACAGGCCTTAATGTCAATACACATGATTATACACAATTTTGTAATGCAATGTTTTCAACAGGGAAATTTATACATCATTTGTCAAATTTTTGCCTTAACCCCCCCACCCCCTTACCAACAACCACTCTTAGAAGAAAATGTTCTATATAGAACCTTAAAAGGTTCTAAAGCGCTACGTATTTGGAACCCCTAAAATGCAATGCATGTGAATGATCACAAAATTCAAGATATGGGGGTTAAAAAATGTAATAAATCAATATCATTAAAATGGGATATTAAGTTACTACAACAGTTAAATAAACAATAACTTAATTATAAATAAAAAATGTTGCAGAATAATGTAATATATGAATCAATAATAGCCTATAAAGAACCTTTGTGCCAAAAGGGTTCTTTCTTCTCATTATAGAACATTTTTTAGCATAAACGTTCCTTTGGAGTTGAGTAAAGAACCCTATGCTTCATATATAGAACCCCAATGAAGCATTTTTTCTAAGAGTGTGGATCAACATTAGTCACCAGAGTACAAATTCATGGGTGAAGTAATCATACAAAATAAACACACACAAAAAGAAAGAAACAAAAAAGAAAAAGAAACACCTATTTACAAAGCAACTCTTGTGTGTATTGCTAGAGATGGGTGAAGAAGCCCTAGTCCAACAGAGTTGTCAGATCCTCCTTCGACTTTACAATTACGGAAATGTATCCCCCATCTCTCTTGACAACTTCGGAATGTGGAGGCATCCAAGGCAGATCTATAACGTTAAATGAAATATTTCGTTAACACAGACCAGGGGTGCAAACCAAACGAGGCTTAAGACTACGGGTGAAGAGTAAAAAAAAAAGTTTTACAAAAGTCACACTAACTATTTTCACCAAAAGAGGACAGGTTTGCACCACGTGATTTGAAGTTGGTCAAGATTACTCTATCTAGCTAATCTGTCTTACTGTATCTAACAGTCGAAATCTTAATTAAACAGGAAAACAAACTAACATGATTAAAAACTTACCCTCCATCGTGCAAAAAGATGTACACAGGCCGGTAACGTACTTCCCACTCAACAGACGAGTCCAGAGAGACGGTTGGAAAAACTAGAATCTTTGACGGGTCCCCGCTGGTGCGCGCTCAGCCGCGCTGACCCTGGCCGACGAGAACCCGCATGAGAGATGTGACGCAGGACGTAACCCCGCCCCCCAGGCGAGATGCCCCAAAATGTATGAATCCCGCACCTACAACTGGTCAATTTCTCGGCAGTCTGAAATGAGTTTTCAGGGACTGGATGAATTAACTTCTCTGCGATAGATATATCTGACTCATTCAAGCTATTTTTGAGTCTTACAGCACTCCTGTTGAAAAACCCAGTCACGTTTCTTTCTTATCCAAGTATCCTTGCATGGCTGGCAGCTTTAGGGCGTGCAGTGAGACCAGGTTAAGGGTGTTTGTAGCTCTTTACATGGTTGTTGCTGTCCAATTAACCAACATGTTAGATGCATTTTATGTGCCTAAAACGGGGCTTTTTCGCGATGTTCCATTTGATTGTTACATAGTCAATTCTTTGGTGAAGAGCAACATGGCTCACATCCTCAAAGTTATAAGCTGACTGGCGAAGGTGCTGTGGAAACCGTTCCGCCCCACAGCGAGTCAGGCTTCTGCAGCCTCTTCCCCAAGAAGGCCCATACAAGACCTCAGACGTCTGAACTAGTAGCTAGTATGCCCAGGGTATTGTTTTTTCCTCAGTGGATCTGAAAGATGCGTACTTTCACATCCAGACCACCCCATTACAGACCGTTCGTGGTGTTCGAAGGGGTGGCATACCAGTATACAGTCCTACTATTCGGACTGTCTGGCCCCACGCACGTTTACAAAGTGCATGTACGCAGAGCTTTCCCCGCTGAGACAGAAGGGGAGCCGACTTGGCCCAGTCGGAGGAAGAATATCTCACAGATCTGTAATGCCTAGGACTCAGACTGAATGTAGCCAAGAGCTCATGGTCTCAGTTGTTACGACCCTTGTTACGAACAAAAACAAGGGACGCACGCAAACCCAATTATAGGCTCAAAAATAATGTTTATTGAACTACAAATGATAAGACAAAAACAAAATAATGAAATGAAAACAGTTAAAGAAAATAAAAGTGTTTCTGTAGTTATCAGCAAAATCAGTGTGTAGAGCACAGTGCATGGTTGAAAGTGTAATGCAATGTTGAGGTTTCATTTTATTTCAATAATTTATTGCCATGTCAACAAGTTGATACGAATTTGTCTTGGTACAACTCTCATACATAAATGACCTAGAAGACAAACATCAAAAATACACTAACAATGTTGTAAAAAGGGCCACAAAATCATGGTGAAGGTTCCAAGCGTGTTCCGTCTTTTCAATGGCAAAGTGAATTTTAATTAAATGCAACACATTTAATCTTATGTATTAACTCGTTTCATCTGACTCCATAAAATGAAGAAGGTTTATCAATGATACCTGTGCATCATTTAATATGTTAAAGCTTGACTATTCCTTTTAACTCTAATGAAAATAAAGTCAAAGTCTGTTAGAATAGCCAAATATAACAATTTATTATGTCAGGTAAATGTATTATTACAGTTCCACAAGATAATCAGAGCAAACCATCAAATGTTTTAGGACAAAGGAACTTTACCCAACATATTAACTACATGAGCTGAGTCTTGAAGACACAGCATCATGGGCTGATCTGATACAGAATAGCAGCCCTGAACTCTTGTGCATTTCCCTTAAATAGAGCCAAACCTTACCTGATCCAATCACCGAACTACAATGGACTCAATCCCCCCACCATGCTTACTGGGGGAAGGAAAATTTGCATTCAGACAAAAGGTAGAAGGTGATTAACTCAAAGACACACCCTTCTGTGTGCAAGATATTTCTATATTCTTAAAAACCTTATTGCCTTTTCTTTTACTTCTTTAGAAATGAGACATTATTACAAGTTACCCTGACACTTTCAAAATGATTCTAAACAGTCCTTAAAGATTATCACATTCACATTAAAAAGCACATTCTTGTGTGAGCTTCCTCTGCAAGTGGGCTCAGTTACCAACTGCAATGCTCAAGACCAACAGCAGGGGTCGTCACACAATAGCCAGAGAATCTCTAGACTCAGCCACAATGAAGGTGGAGTTTGTCCACAAGCATGTTCAGATGGTTCAGCGGCTTGCCTCTTCTAAGAGTGGGTTTATTACTGAAATTGTATTATACTTTTTATTTATTTATTTTTTTACTTTGTGTAGCATTATGGTAAAACGGATCACTATGGCAACAGCTTTCTTACCTGTACACAACACTGTTGTGGGCAGAACAGACAGAATGGCAGTGTCTTTTAGTTTTTCCCTTGCGTTCGGCCTAAAACACCATTCGTGATCATCCAGTTTGATATGACTACAAACAGAGAGATTTTCCAGATTTTTCCGTCACGGTGTTCTCTCCGTATTTACGATTCTTTGCAGCCTTTAGTTGCTGCCTACAATGCACTGGAACTTTACTCCGGCTTCTTGCATCCTGGAACAATACATGTCGACACCATTATGACTGAAAGTATTTCCTACTAAACAGGGCCTGTCCTCTTTCAGTTGATGAAACGTTAGCCCCAAGAGGCTTAGTTCTTAAATTTGATCAGTCAGTTAGTCTGTCTAGTCTGTCTCCTAAAGTGTGTTTTTGTCTTGCTCTGATTCACTGTTACCAGCTCTCAGTGATATGTGTCGGGTCCTCGCTATGAAAACAGTAACTTTCTCAAATGTTTACAGAACAAGCGGGAACCCAGTGCATCTGTATCTCTCTCTATTGCTGTTCAATTACATGATAGAAAGTCTAAGGCTGAATCCCAATTCTCTGTCTTACCCCTTCCCCTTCGTCTTACCCCTAGCCCTTGTCCCTCCAAACCGAGTGGTAAGCGCAAGTGCAAACATACCCCTATGAAATGAGACACCACTCATCGTTACGTCATCTCACATCATCCTTAACTGGCGTCTGTGTCACCCGGGGCAACAAGTGTTGATCACAAACTTCTCAACTTTCAAGATGCCGTCAAAATGTCCGGGATTGGGCTTTTGCTTTCCGTCTTCACTATTCGTTATGTTTACATGCACAAGGTGTTGTTTCAATCAGACTGAATTCATTCATTTAAATCGGTGAATCTGAATGTATTGATGATCTAATATTCCCGTGTTTTCAGTCGGGATCCGTTTGAAGCTGAATGCATCATCTGAGAAGCTGATCACGTACGTGTCAGTGTCAAATAATGTACTCATAATGAATGGCGACTGTAAAAGCAAAAGCTGAATCCCGGACATTTTGGGTGATCTTGAAATGTGGGACTGATTGTGCAAATAAGCAATGTAATGTCAGCATAGCCTAGCGTAGCAAAGTAGCGATTTTAAAAAAACTTTAAAAACGTTTCAATAAACAACATAGTTGCAAATATATATGTACATAATTGTGTAGAGCACAAAACAAGATGGTCATATTTTTTTTATCAATCATTTAAGCAAAAAAACTTCAAGTAAGCTCGTGAAAATTCTTGGTCTTAAGGGGTATATACCCATTCACCTTACCCCTACCCCTAGATCAAAATGAGAATTGGCATAGCCCTTCCTCTCACGTGAACGCACAAAACTAAAGGGAAGGGGTAAGACAGAGGATTGGGATTCAGCCTAAGGCCTTCAACAACCATACAGCAAACCCATCTAATCTGGTGCCTATTACAATCCAAACTAAGATTGCTGTGGTAACCACATACAACCTGGATTTCATGTTTCCAAATGAAACTTGGCTAGAAGACAGCTGTAGTGCAACAGTCCTAAACGAAACATCCCTTCCTAACTTCACTTATATGAGTGTCTGCAGAGCGGGTAAGAGAGGCGGGGGTTTAGCTGCTCTTTTTAAAGATGTTTATCAATGTAAGCAAATATCATTTGGGATTTACCCGTCTTTCGAATATCTGGGTATTGTGTTAAAATTTTGCCTATCATTATTTACAGGCCTCCAAAATACTCTCCAGCCTTTGCTGAGGACTTTATAGAACTGCTATCAACAATTTCCACTGAGTTTGACTGTTTTGCCATTGCTGGAGATTTTAACATTCACATAGATAACGCACAAAACAATGACAAAAGAAATCAAAACTGTTTTAAAAACTTTTGTATCCAAACAAGCGTAACTGCCTTCTTTATCTTAGCAAAAACACAATTTCCCAGTGGTGCAATGAGATGAGTGATAGGCTTCTGACCCAGAGGTAGTGGGTTCAAGGTGCTTAGAAAAGTAACTTGAGTTTAGTGTGTGAAGAGCACAGGTTAGCTGTTACAAGTGAGAAAGCGTGACCATGGACAGACCACGCAAAACTACAAACCTGCGGGGAATCACCGGTTATAAAAATAAAGAAACTACGAATAGTGAAGAATCTACAATCAAAAAGGCAAAGCGACACAGTTTGTAACAAAACCAAAGCAAAGACTAAAATATAGCAATTGGATATGAATTATATCAAATCTAGTTTGGCGAATTGCTTTTGTCCCCCAGCCAAAGCCCTTTTAGTCAAGTCCAGCCACTCGGCCGCCATCTTGGCAACGCCTCCGGGCAGCTGTTTCGGACTAACAAGACCAGGCTCCTATCTGAATGAATGGGCAGAGACTCAGAACTGCACTTTCACTGGTCACCGGGACATAAAAACCGCTTGTATAGAAAAAGTTTGTTGACTTTTCCCCAAAATAAGGTTTAAAACGCCTTTTCCCCCACAGGTTATGTGTTTACTACGCCTGTGCAAGGGTTCTCTCGCGCTCTGCTCGCTCGCTCTAGATTCCGGGAGATTTGAACTAATTTGCGGTCATCAGGGAGACGCTATCAATCTGCGGGAGACTCGGGGAACTTCCGGGAGACTTGGGATGTCTGACATTTACACAACTAACACACATCAAATCTGCCGCCTTTTCAAACAGTAACGTATTTCCCACTGTTGCAAACCTCAACCGTGCGCATGCGTCGGTGTAACCAGACGATAGGCTTACATGTTTCCCGGCTTGACTGTTAAAAGCAGGCGATTGGCTGTCCAGCGGGAGGGGCGGGGCATGTGTGTACAACCGCCATCTTTGGTGTTACGCGTTTTCTCTACATAGTTGTATTTTAATAATCCATTAAAAATGTGAATGTAAAATGGTTTGTAACTGAATATGGCTCTTCAGTTTAAATATGTTAATTTTTATGAGATTTGAGGGTGGAAGAAATTAAATCACGTGTGTTTGAGATCAGGAACCATTTTCATTTTTGAAAAAACTCTTTCTTCATGTAGCCTTGCAGTTTTAATGACACCATATAAATGTTTTGCTCAAAGATTGTGGTTTCAAACAGAATATGATACTGATGCTGTTTCATCAGCTTGAGACGGAGCTGGACTTCATCACACAACTGGATGGAGTCGCTGACAGCAGCTCCGACACGGAGGAAGAGGATGATGAGGAAGATCTGGAGCTGGTTGGAGAGGAAGAGTTTCTGGGAATGATCAACAGCAATGAGGAGGAGGAGTTGGAAGAGGAAGAGGTAAGCATTCAGATGGAGAGTTAAAGGGTTAGAAAAGCTGTTTTTCTTTCTCAATAGGCAAGATGTTGGTTACTATTTATTTATTTTTACTTTTTACATGAATTTTCTGGAAGATAAAAGCAGCCATTTTTCTGGCACGTGTTTAAGGAGTCTTAAATCAGAGTTGATCTTGCATTTTGCTTCTACATTTACATATATATAGACCTTGAGGAAGTTGATTGTAATCTGATTGTTACTTTAATGTTGTAATATTTTCAGTAAAACCTGAAAATATGAGAACTTTAAATAATTATGGAATTACAGACTGATCTCATGAAGTAGCGTGTGTCCCTAAACCTACCCGTCACTGGAGTTAATGGCATTTATGACTGTTCCCTTACCATCCTAGGGAAAAAAAACATAGCTCCCCAGATGTAGATCTACATTTTGCTTTGTTTTGGTCAGACATTTGACGGCGTGTACGGACACACGGAATGACGCGGACGTTAATGGCGTAGGCAAACACGCATACACGCGGATAGCTCAAAATGCGTCGAGATAACACGCCACTTGACTCGAAATTGGCGTGTATGTTTACGCAAAAGTCATGATGTCATGTTGGGAATTAAGACTTTAGAAATGACATTTTCTAGTTATGCTCAGCTCTAAAATGTCGGGGCCCGTATTCATAAAGATTCTAAGAATCCTCTTAAAAAACTTTTAATTTAGCTTAAAAACTTTTACGTTTGAGTCTTCTTAGCTTAAGAGCGATTCGGGACCGATCTGAGAGCATTTCTGAGGATGGAGAAGACAGAAACTCTCATGTCAGTGAGGAGGCGTGGATGACCCTGTTGCTATGTATGACACAATTTTTTGAAGACTGTGATTGGTTGGTTGTCCAAGAAGGGAAAAAAGATTGATTTTAACTACAGTCATGGTCAAAATTAATGGCACCCCTGGTAAATATGATGAAAACTGGCTGTAAAAAATAATTCTGCATTGTTTATCCTTTTGATCTTCCATTCAAAAATTGGCAAAATTCTAACCTTTCATTGAAGTAAAAGAATTGAAAGTAGGGGTAAATCACACTATGAAATAAATGTTTTTCTCAAACACTCTGGCCATAATTATTGGCACCATGTTACTAAAAACTTTTTGCAACCTCCTTTTGCCAAGATAACAGATCTGAGTCTTCTCCTATAATTCCTGATGAGTTTGGAGAACACCTGACCAGAGATCAGAGACCATTCCTCCATACAGACTCTCTCCAGATCCATGTTGGTGCTTCATCTCTTCAGTTCACTCCACTCATCAGGTCAGGGTCTGGGACGGTCATGGCAGAAGCTTCATTTTGTGCTCCGTAACTAATTTTTGTGTTGATTTAGATTTTTGTTTTGGACCGTTGTCCTGATGGAAGATCCAACCACGGCCCATTATACGATTTCTAGCAGAAGGCGTCAGGTTTTTATTTTTTTTATCTTTTTGTATTTGATAGAATCCATAATACCATGTATCTGAACAAGATGTCCAGGACCTCCAGCAAATAAATAGGCCCACAACATACAAGATCCAGTAGTATATTTAACCGTAGGCATGGGGTACTCTTCATCCCAGTTTGCACCAAACACATCTGCTGGGTTTGCTGCCAAAAAGCCCCTTTTTTAGTTTCATCTGACCACAGAACCCTGTGCCGTTTGAAGATCCAGTCGTGTCTGACACCTGAATATGCTGGAGTTTGTTTTTGGATGAGCCAGGAGCATTTTTCTTGAAACCCTCTCAAACAACATGTGGGGATGTAGGGGTTGTCTGATATTTTTTTTTTTTTTTAGGTTTTCTGACCCCAAGACTCAACTAATCTCTGCAATTCTCCATCTGTGATCCTTGAAGAGTCTTTGGACACTCAAACTTTCATCCTCACCGTCCATTAAGGCAAAATAGACACACGTCCTCTTCCTGGCAGAATCATAACATCTTTAGTTGATTATAACTTCTTAATTATTGCCCTGATGGTCAAAATGGGGATTTTCAATTCTTTAGCTATTTTCTTACATCCACTTTCTATTTTGTGAAGTTCAACAATCTTTTGATGCACATCAGAACCATGTTCTTTGGTTTTATTCATTGTGATGGATGATTCAGGGAATTGGGCCTTTGTGCTTCCTCATATTTAAACTCCTTGAAACAAGAAGTCATAGCTGGACAATTTCATGTTCCTAGTCACCCTGATGTGCTTAAATTAAATATTAATGGGAATGAACTTCAGAGATATTTTTCTCATAAAAAATTCTAGGGGTGCCAACAATTATGGCCAGAGTGGTTTGGAGAAAAATTTATTTATTTCATAGTGTGATTTACCCCCACTTTCAATTCTTTTGCTTCAATGAAAGGTTAGAATGTTGCCATTTTTTTGAATGGAAGATCAAAAGGATAAACAATGCAGAATTATTTTTTACAGCCAGTTTTCATCATATTTACCAGGGGTGCCATTCATTTTGACCATGGCTGTATTCTAAGCCTTCACTTTGAAATTACATGCATAAGTTTTCCTCTTTTACCATTCTACACACACACACACACACACACATTATATATATGTGTAGATAAATCCTTTTTTTTAATTAACCATGCTGTTAATTTCCTATAAGGTATTTGATTGGCTTTGAATGATAAAAATCGTTCCACTCTTTCCAGTTACACTGATTGCTGTCTATTTAAGTGGTGGTTTGAATGTAACTGTACTGTCCTCAACATCATTTTAGTATATTGACAGTCAGATAAACTCTTCCCTCACACGACTCTGAAGACAGTATGTTTGTTTGTCCACAGTTTTAATGGTCTTGGGTATAGAGTGAAACTACAAACACAACAAATAAACATATTTCAATAATATGCTTACAATTAAACGTGACATTTTTGTAATGTAAATATAATGAATACAAGCACAATCTGGCTAATGCAATAGCCTAATTGAGAATTATTAATTACTCTCTTTAACTGTAACAGTTCACATTTATGCAAGTATTATAAACATCCATGCAAAATCAATAAATACTTACAAGCGATGCTGTTGCAAGGTTTGAGATTACAGCAATATGTGACGATTAACGAGAGCCATGGTTACTGCTGCCCATGGAGCACTCACTACTTCCTGGTTCACGTGAATACCAGAATTCGCAGAATTAAAGAAATGTCAAACTTGCCACTAGGTGGAGCTCTAAACCATAAATAAAGCGAACAGAAAATTTAAAGCAATGAATAACATTAAATAATCACAGGCTTATAACAAATAAATCTGTTATCAAATTAAACAAAATATGAAATATTTTACAACAAACTTGTTCCAACACAGTAACAAACAAGGAATCAATACCGAGAAGGCCGAGAAAGCCCGACTGGACAGTGTTTACTGTTTGCCCAGTTAGTGGATGAACACAAGGCCATCCTTTTCTTCAACACATTTCTTCTCCCTCTTCGTCTTTCTGCCATTTTCTCCTCTGCTAAAGAAACTCTCAAGCCTCTTTAAAAAGTCCTCAGCCGTACTCCTAACAATTTTGACCGTAAGACCTCTTTTAAGGGTTAGGATGCTTTCTAAATTACTTTTTTCTTTCCTTGGATTTTTTTCTTTAATTTTAAGAGTAAACGCCCACATTTCTAAGAATTTTCTTAGAGTTTTGTCACTAGTAGCTACCCTTGCATTAAGATTCTTTATGAATATGGGCCATTATCTTTCATATTATTATTATTATTCAGATTTTTCTATTTTTCTCCAAAATAGCTGATCACATAATGGTAAGTATTTGAAAAAATCCTTTAAATGCAGTTAAATCCATAAATTGCTTTTGAATGAATTGAAAGCCCATAATTGATGAATAAAATCAGGTCTCATAAGAGGACGAGCTGGAATATTTCCTCACACACTGATTCTGCCAATCCTCTGCTCATGAAAGTGTGAGTTTAGATGAGCTTCTGTTATGAACGCTTCTGTTTTCTTCTCATGCGTTCTCTCAGGATCCGCTGAACTCTGGAGATGACGTGAGTGATCAAGATATCCCAGAGGTCTTTGACACAGAGAATGTCATCGTTTGCCAGTATGATAAGGTAAAAACTACAGAGGAACTATTTGGGGGGATTTTAAAAAGTTGAAAATCATAAAGATGATGGCTATGTATAAGCTGGCGTCCTTTGAATGATTCTTTACTGTTATGGGTTCATAGATTGGGTTGTCCAAAATAAAAAAAAAACCTGTAGAATTATAAGTGTTGAGTATTAGATCTAAATGTACAGTAGCGTTCAGAAGATGAGATCATTATGTAATAAGTCAATCTTAATTTTACACAATCTTGGTAAAAACAATAAAAAACAAGACTTTTTATAATTCTGCAAATAGGGCTTCACTGAAACATGTTTTTAATTCACTGATCTGATTCTGATACCCGAATTCTACACATCGGCTAGGGTTACGTTTAGGGTTAGCGCATCGGTTGTCAGTTTTGACTGATTTTGCTTACGGAAATTGTTCAAAAAACATCAGAACAGTTGAACGACAAGTCCAGAGTTTCAAGTGTCGTTCTTAAATGGTTCAGTGTTTTTTAATGAATCGGGAGAATCGAAATGATTCAATGACATGTTTAAAAAGTGGTCACTTGCTTTTTGAACAGTTTGAACGAATCGGTTTAATGAATGATTCTGTTGTTCACATATACATTTTTCAGCCACCTACTGGCAGGTTTAGTTTCATAAAGCATTGCTTAATTTTTCCAACAATTCTGTATTAAAAATGTTATATTTAAAACTTTAGTTTCATTAAGTTATTGATTAAATGAATGCACTGTAAATGTATTTTGTTAATTAGTAAGATAGATTTTGTTGATTCTGATTTCATTGGATTGGTAACAGCCCTATAGTGGATATTGAAATCATAGTGGATATTTGCCACTGAAAATCTAGTTTATGACTCTGACCGTGAGTGGAAGACATTTTGCCTGAATCCGACATGGTTGAGAATATTAATAAATGCTAATGCCAGTGTGTGGTTTTGATTATGTGAATGATGTCACCGGCGATGACACTCGTTGTATTGGACAGATGGAGATCTTCCAGTTCAGTTTAACCGTGTAAACGGACTAAATCTACATTAATTTGTATTTTAGTCATTTTAGTTGGCACAAATCTCCCAGTCAAAACTATTTTCAAAGAAATTCTATTTTAATGTTTTAAATTGTTTACTTTTTTGTTTGTTTGTGTTTTATAGATCCACCGTAGCAAAAACCGCTGGAAGTTTTACCTGAAGGATGGTGTGATGTGTTACGGGGGGAAAGACTATGTGTTCTCCAAGGCTTTGCATAGCTGCTGCTTTACTGGTATTGACCATGTATGTTTTCTTTATGAAAATAAATTCAAGCAATTAAACTCCGTAATATGTTTCAGTCTCTGCTTAAATATTTTGTCCTTTTTCATTTAGTGTCTTTCATCTCTTCTTCTCTGTCTCCCACTGAAGCCCCTGGGAAGCATTCATGCTTTATAAGGAGAACAAGGACACTGTGGAGGCCATGTTTCTCCTCAGGATCAGCGCTGAGAGAATCAGGATCTCAGCTCAACAAAAGCCTCATGAGCCTGGAGCTGGGAAACTTCAGCTTCAAGAAACCTGTATTAACACTGGGAGATCTGCAGGGAAAGCCCTTCACTGACCCTAACTTCACTACACGTGGACCTCGGGTGAGAATCTGCATGAGCTGCTGTTCAACTGTCTCTGTTTCTCAGCTAGATAAACACTTAGACCGGTTTAGAACAACTCTAAGCTGGCCAAAAAACATGTCGCTCTCTGATTAGTGTGCATTCGTCATCATGGCAATGTTTCGACAGCATTATGCAACATCACAATATTTATCAAGAGTTGCGTAAATGTTTGGCTGATATCTTGCATTGACAACTGCTCTGTAACCCATCAAGCACATTCCAAAGACTTTCAATGGGGTTAAAGGTCAAGACTCTGTGGTGAAAATAATTCCTCATGCGAGTGAATCACTCTTCACTGTTTGAATCCGATGAATCTTTACAACAGATGTTAAAGGGTCTGTAACCCTTATACGCCAGGCCACTTATCAAGACGGTCAGCAAAGTAAACACTAGGCTGTTTGTCATTCACCTGTAATGAAACCAATTTATGTCACCGTTTCAAAATGGATCCCACTAGCCTGGATGCCAGCCCGAACTCCGCCCACAACATTTTTTGGTGGGGAAGTTCGGTCTGGACTCGATCCATTGAGGAGTGATTATGATCAGGCAAGAAATGAACGGGCCAATCAAATTGCCAGGGCGGGCTTTATACGATGATGGACAGATGATCTGCAGGGACGTAATCATCACGTTATCAAAGAGCGCTTGTCGAAGACGACTGCAGCTGGAGAATTGAGATGTATAGATCTCGCTCTCGCGTCTTTTGTAAAATAAATCGACAGTGCATTCATTTTAACAGACGAACAGAGAACTGCGATCAAGGCATTTGTCGATGGGAAAGATATTTTTGGCGTCCTTCGTACATGATTCAGCAAAAGTGTAACTTATCAGCTGACTCTGATAGTCGTTAAGAAGACGGGACGTAATGAAAAGCCTGTGGTCGTTGTGGTTTCTCCTTTGGTCACACTCATGGAGAAGTAAGGAAAAGAAGCAACACTCGTTATTTAACTTCTAAAATAAATAAAGTTAGGCTACGTTCTGTATTTGAAAACTGCGCTATGCAAAGAAGTTGACGTACTGCGTTGCTCTGATTGGTTGTTGGTCTACCGACTATCCAATTGAGTTCAGAGGTTTTTTTTTCCTGGTTCGGTTACGACACACCTCATAATCAAAGCCCAACGGAGCGATATGAGACTCATATTCTTATTAGAAAATGAGTGTGACGAAGTCAGGCTAGGATCCCACCTATCGGGTACAAAAATGCAACTTTTTAGCAGCTGACTGACGTTAGATTAAGTCATTTTGATATGTGTTCTGAAATGAACACATCCTTCAGGGGCCGCAAAGCCAAAAGCTAAACAGTGCAGCTCGCTGTGTGTGTGTGTGTGTGTGTGTGTGTGTGTGTGTGTTTTTAGAACTTCAGTATAAACTGAACATTAGCAGTAAATTAACATTTATTATTGTAAAATATTTGATTCCTGCTGAATCCTACATATTTAATTGTAAATAGTATAGTATCTGAATAAATGAATCTTCCGGATGTCTTCATGTTTCAGTGTTTTGCTTCATCTTTCTCGTTCACACCCAGAGCAAACAAAAGCATTCCTCTGACAGAGTCTATTGTTTCTTCATTCTTAGAGCCAACGGGTCTTTATGCATTCTTTGCTCATCATAAAGAGTCATTTTTTTTCTGGGCTTGAAAGGTATAAAGGTTGTGAAAGGTATCTATGAAAGGTAAAGGTTGAAGACTGGGTGTTTTCCTGCTGCTCGTGACAGATGATCACATTAATGATTCGGATCTGATCTATACCCTTCGTCTCCTGAAAGCACGAGTGCTAGCGATGAGGCAAATATGTTTACAATGTAATCACCATCTGCAGGATGTAAAGTGTTCTGGTCTTCATGATAACCCTTTTGTAAAATCCCTTTAACATCCAATATCTGTCACATGAACTTTGAACTCATCACATTAAAGCAGAAGTCACATCAATAGTCTGTTGTCTGTTATTTGACAGTTTATTGCATTTAATACATCTTTGGCATTTTTACCATCTTCACGACTGTTATTTGAAAACTCAATCCATCCAGGTTAACTAGCTGAAATAGTTGCTTTTAATAGGTCTTAAACAACTGTGTTAATAATAACCCAGAACTGATTACACAGTTTTGCTTGGATTACCAGTCCGGTGCTTTAACCAACAACAGCTGAGTCTGAATCTCACACTCTCTAGAGTAGGTACTTCTATAGTATGGGTGTGTGTAGAATGAATGTATTTTTTTTTTTTTTTTTTTTTTTTTTTTTTTTTGTGTAGAATGATTGTAGTCTGTGCATACTACTTTCGCCATGATGTCATTATCACTCGGCCTACAGCGTCATTGCGTCATTCATTCTAACCCTATTCATGAGCGCCTTTTCCTCAAAACTACTGCCTGATTCATTTCCTGCAAGTCATCCGATTCTTCCCGAAACATCTTTACACGGTCAGTCAGAGTCATTTTCATCCTATTTACTGACTGAGGGATCGCTAAAGATTTAAAAAAGCAGTAAGACTTGATTCCTGTTTGTTTACCTTCACTCCCTGTTTACTTTCACTTTGTAATAAGCGAAATGAGATCGTAGAAATTATTGAATCTCTTTTAGTTTCTTATGAACTATTTTTAAAATTCCATCTAGCACCTTTATAATGGTAAAGATTTACTATTCTTTAAATCGTGTGTGTTTACGATATTTCTGTACTGATACTACACGCTTGCAGCAGATGAAATGTAGGCCTAATGTAATAGAGGAATGTCGAATCAGACACATAAAATATAATGTTTATGAAAGCTGATTTGTTTGTTCCTCAGAGAGCCAGAATGGTGAACTGCTGCGGTCTCGTGTCGGAGAAAAATGTCCCAGGTAACGTTAAACTCTCCACTTCCTCATTACAAACAACTCTCTATATTGTTTATAATTCTTAAACCACGGGATTAAATTTGCATTAATTACTATTATTTAAGACAGCATGTTAGAGAATTATTGTGCTGTTTATAAGCTGGTGTGATATGAGAATGTGCTGTCTGTTTCTTTTTTTTTTATTCACACCAAATATGTCTTTACACAGTGGAAATTTAAAAATATGTATCATCTTCAAAGGCAAATAAAATTATATCTCCATTTTAAATGGACAGCATATTTAATTTGTCTGGTAATCTGAAAAGCATTTTTGGGGTCTATAAAAGTTAAATAAACATTTAATGATCTATAAGCCTTTCACATATATCTTCACTTATTAAAACTCTTCTGTCAGTGCACCGTATTAAACAAATGAAGTAAATCACTATATTTCCATTCAAAGGGAAGGAAACTGAAAGGCTTAAAGAGTAACTAAACACTAAACCAACTTTTTTTAGTTAATGATCTGTAAGAATGGATCTTTATTAATACCAGTCATTGATTCGAGTAACTTTTTTGACATTTGTGTTTAAAGTGTTTTATTTCTATAATATATGGTGTAAAAACGTCTTAGTGCTGCCCTCTTCAGGTTGAACGGTGGCTACTGCAGTTGAATTTTCCTAATGGATGTTCTGCACTTCGTGACGTACGCACGTTTCTGCTCACCACGCTCTTGGTACGAGCTACGCTCTTGGCAGTATAAAAAACAGCTTGTTTCGTCAAAACCAGTCAGTAGTTTTGACCCACACCGGCCCAAACTACCCAATCTGAGCCCACTGCCTGTTTCTGAGGGAGTGGTTTCATAGACTCAGGAAGTCGACCGGTCGTTCAGGGGACAGAGGAGAGCGCGGCTGACAATAAAGCTGAAGTTTATGAAAAATCACCCCCGCCATCTTCATCACCCCCGCCATCTTCGTCACCCCCGCCATCTTCGTCACCCCCGCCATCTTCGTCACCCCCGCCATCTTCGTCACCCCCGCCATCTTCGTCACTCTTCGTCACTCCCGCCATCTTCGTCACTCTTCGTCACTCCCGCCATCTTCGTCACCCCCGCCATCTTCGTCACTCTTCGTCACTCCCGCCATCTTCGTCACCCCCGCCATCTTCGTCACTCTTTGTCACCCCCGCCATCTTCGTCACTCCCGCCATCTTCGTCACTCCCGCCATCTTCGTCACTCACTCCCGCCATCTTCGTCACTCCCGCCATCTTCGTCACTCCCGCCATCTTCGTCACTCCCGCCATCTTCGTCACTCCCGCCATCTTCGTCACCCCCGCCATCTTCGTCACCCCCGCCATCTTCGTCACCCCCGCCATCTTCGTCACCCCCGCCATCTTCGTCACCCCCGCCATCTTCGTCACCCCCGCCATCTTCGTCACCCCCGCCATCTTCGTCACCCCCGCCATCTTCGTCACCCCCGCCATCTTCGTCACCCCCGCCATCTTCGTCACCCCCGCCATCTTCGTCACCCCCGCCATCTTCGTCACCCCCGCCATCTTCGTCACCCCCGCCATCTTCGTCACCCCCGCCATCTTCGTCACCCCCGCCATCTTCGTCACCCCCGCCATCTTCGTCACCCCCGCCATCTTCGTCACCCCCGCCATCTTCGTCACCCCCGCCATCTTCGTCACTCTTCGTCACTCCCGCCATCTTCTTCACTCCCGCCATCTTCATCACTCCCGCCATCTTCTTCACTCCCGCCATATTCATCACTCCCTCCATCCTGCAGTGGCATTAGGGCACCCATAACTCCGCTGGGCGGTGAGTAGGTAGTGCGGTAGGGTTAGGGTTAAGGCGAGGATGGTGCAGACCTCATTCCCATGCCGTTGTCTCTGGGGCCCCCTGCTGCTCCGAGATCTGTACAGCTTAGCCTGGAACCTCAAGGGACCAGTTACCATGTGTGCCATGGGCAGGCGTGTTGGAGATCTTGGCAGTGGCAGGGCTAAAGACTGCGACCAAATGGTCGCATTTTGCGACCAAAATTTGAGAGTGTGCGACTGAATTTTACATCCAGTCGCACATGTGCGACCAGTAAATTTGCCACACGTTAAAAGCGTGGAAGGAGCGCGTCAATGAATCCGTGACAAGAATAGCGCGCGTAAACGTCTGTGGGAAGGAGACGGAGACAAATATCACAACCTGATGTGCGTCTGAGCAATCAGCGATCTATCGACTCGTTAGTCGTTACCTAGCAGCGAATGCAAACAAAATAAAAGTGGAACGAAAATATGCCACTCATATTTGATTAGGACCGGAGCAGCAGCAGCGACTTGAACCATTGACATAAAATAAAGCCCCGAACTTGCCAGTCGCGGGCCGATCTCGCTCACGCAACACTGTTGCTAGGAGATCCAGTGAAGAAATCAATTGAATTTGAATAACTCAGAATTAATAACATCAACACCACGAGATCCAGTGAGAAACACTCCGATTCGGCGCAGAGTTCTGTTATAAACCATATCAGATCAAACAGCGCTGACGTGGACACCAGGAGAAACACTAATAGAAGGCTTTCAGTCCACAAATCAGCCTAACAGAACCATGGATTTAGGTTAATGTAGCCTAGTAAGTTAACTCTAACCATAAATATGATAATGTGTAAGAAATAGTCAAATGCTTACAAATAGCCTACTACTACACATCTTTTCCCAGCACTTCAATAATATCAATAAAAATGTTTTATTTTTTTGTATTTTTTTATGTGATTACCAACACTTTTTTTTTTAAGATTGTCCTAAAACGAAAAATTTTAAGATGTTGGAAAACTCTTATTTAAACACTTAAAAAATAATAATAATACCATTATAAACAGGATGTTTATTGGCTATTTTCAAAAATACATATTTTCACTACTTTTATTAATTAATATTAAGACATTATAAATGATAATAACTAAAGTTAATTTCATCTACACCCTAAATTAAGCTTAGTGATTTATTGTCAGCCCTAGTGCTACCAGAATTAATTTTTTTTATTTTTTTATTTTTTGTAGTAGAACACGCTGTGAGTTCTCATTTGAGGTGATGCTGCCCTCAACTTTGAGTCTGGAGCCCTCTGAACTTAAAATAAAACAGCATATCATAATGTTAAGTCTATTTATTATTAAAGAATTTGTCAGTATTACAGTTATTTTGGGGGAAATGTGAATAATTTCATTGCAAGCTGATTTAAGGTGTGCCCCTAAATTTTCTGCTTGCGCTCCTAAAATTTTCAGTCAGGGGCAACAGCGCTCCTAGTCAAAACAGTTAGTCTGGTGTGTGTCAGTTCCTCTGATGTGTGTGTGTGTGTCAGTTCCTCTGATGTGTGTGTGTGTGTGTGTCAGTTCCTCTGATGTGTGTGTGTGTGTGTGTCTCAGTTCCTCTGATGTGTGTGTGTATGTCAGTTCCTCTGATGTGTGTTTCTCTTCTCTCAGTTCCTCTGATGTGTGTGTGTGTGTGTGTGTGTATGTCAGTTCCTCTGATGTGTGTTTCTCTTCTCTCAGTTCCTCTGAAGAGCATCTCGGTGGAGCTGCAGGTTCGGGATCACGGGGTCTCCGTCAGCTCCAGTCTTCAGTATGTGAACGAGGAGGACGGAGCGCTGGAGGCCGTGTTCGTGTTCCCGCTGCCGGCCGACGCCGCCGTCTGCCACTTCAGCGCCCGGATCGAGGAGCAGGAGATTGTGGCGGAGCTGCGGGACAAGCAGAGCGTGAGTCTCCACACCCGAGGGACAGATTCAGATACACATGATGGATATCTGCGAAAATGTCATTATGTGATCAGTCTCAGTTTGCCAGACAGATGCTGGAGTTCAGTTCAATGGCTCAACACACACATCTGTCACTTTCAAACAAGCCTAGGAAATCTAAGCAAAGTTTTATACATGAGAATCTGTGGTTTTCTTAGATTTTTTAAATTTGTTCAAGTTATCTTCTACCGAAACCCACTTAATTCTGGAGAGATTGTGCTAATGCTGAATTTTGCCATGAATGCTCTTCTCTCCTTGATTGTGAAATCTGCAATACATCTCACTGGTTTCAGCTTTGCTGTAGTGTCCTCTATAGTTTAGGAGGCCCCCATGTGACCCTTTAGATTAGATTTTTTCCCACAGATTTGGAAAGGGCCAGTCAAAGGTCTTATGAGGCTTTTGCAGCATCATGATTTACCTGAAATACAGCAATATTAATCAAAAGATGGCACTAAACCCGAAGGGGCGGGGCTAGGGGTGTGGCCACCAGTGACAAAGCTTGCCCCCCCCCCCCCCTTACAACTCTTTATTATCTTGACCAGAATTGAGTTTTAGGCGTAGAACTGTTTGTTTTCGACCAGCACACGGGAGACTCTTCAGTGCAGATCAGCCAGGAGGAGCAGTTTCACCCGACAAATCTCTGAACAGTTGCCTACTTAAACATTTTTAATGTTTTTATTACATTAATGAACTGCCATCAAATGTATATGCTGCTATCTGAGCTCACAACATTAGGCACAATTTAAATGTTACTTTTTAATCCGTAATTGATCTGTTAAGTCCTGTTCATTTGTACTCAAAAACAGACGCCATTTTGCATTAGTTGCCAAGTACAAATGGAAATGGATCGCATTTAACTGTGTATAAAATTACAGATTTTAAATTCTGGATTTGTTTTATGTTCTGCCACTTTCATCGTATTTACTTTGTTGCACATGAGGATCCAAACGATTTTTTTCCCTTTGTAATGAGTTTAAGTATGATTAGAATTGTTGCTGTTCATTTATTTTGGCAACTAATTGAATGTTAAACATTCAGTGTTTAATTTTTCATGTGAAAGTTTTTGAAAAAGATCAACACACGTTGTTGAGTCTGACTTTCAAGAGCGATGGAACCGTTAGAGCGAGCTGGCAATGAAAGTGAAATCTTACACACTCCAGTCGGCGTTTAGTCATGGGTGTGGAAGTATTGGGGCTTCAGGAACACAGATGGAGCAGTGGTAAGAGATGTCGCCGTTTGCAAAGAAGACTGCTATGGTGTAATACATGCATTATGTTAATAAAATACTCGGCCGACGTGAGCGAACGGCCCGAGGCCAGTGGTGTGAGTGATAATGAACGTCACCTGTGAGACGAACCGGTCTCGCATCTCTCACGGAGGAGCAGAAGCATAAAAAGAAGAGCGATGAGCTGAAGATCGAGAGACCGCTGCGTCTCACGGGTGACGTTCATTAACACTCACGCCACCGGCCTCACGCCATTCTCGCACATCGCCCGCGTCCTGCTCGCCACAAATGCTGTTTCTGTATTCGCAATAAAAGGATATTTATTTATTTTTATTTAAACTTAATAGATATCATGTAAAAATATCTAGAATGAATCGAATCGTAATGCGGCAAATTCTGAAGTATCCTCAAGTCACCTTTATTTATATAGCGCTTTTCACAATACAGATTGTATCAAAGCAGCTTCACGATAACATGAAAATAGTATAATACAGTTCAATAATATTGTTGAATATTAAATGTCCCCAACTAAGCAAGCCAAAAGCCAAGGCAACAGTGGCAAGGAACCAAAACTCCATCAGGGACTGAATGGAGAAAAAACCTCGGGAGAACCCAGGCTCAGTCGGGGTCAGTTCTCCTCTGGCCAACGGAGGAACAGTGATTACAAAACAAATTGGATCAAAACATTAAGAGAATTTGTCCATTTCCATCTGTTTGGAAGTCGAAATAATCACGGCGGTTTGAATCACTAACCCTAACCCTTGTTCCGCATTTATCAATGAGAGCATATGGCGTAATTTAGATATATTTTTAAGATGGAAAAATGCGGTTCTACAGATACTAGACACATGACTTTCAAATGAGAGATTGGTATCAAAGAGCACACACACACAGGTTCTTAACCGAGGACAAAGACTTAACAGAGCAGCCATCGAGTGTTAGACAGTATTCTAGGCTGTTATGTGTGGAAGTTTTTTGTCCAATAATTAGAATCTCTGTTTTTTTCAGAATTTAGTAGTAGGAAATTACTAGTCATCCAATTTTTATATCAGCTATGCATTCCGTTAGTTTTGTGAATTGGTAAGTTTTGTTAGGTTTTGAAGAAATATACAGCTGAGTATCATCAGCATAACAGTGAAAGCTAATTCCATGTTTCCTAATGATATCTCCTAATGGCAGCATGTACAGAGTGAACAGCAGCGGTCCTAGTACTGAGCCTTGTGGGACACCATACTGAACTTGTGATCGATAAGACATCTCTTCATTTACTGATACAAACTGATAACGGTCAGATAAGCGTGATTTAACCCATGCTAATGCAGATCCACAAATGCCAACATAGTTTTCTAGTCTATTTAAAAGAATGTTGTGGTCGATTGTGTCGAATGCAGCACTAAGATCAAGAAACACTAATAGAGAGATACAACCACGTCGGATGATGAGAGCAGATCATGTGTGACTCTAATGAGAGCTGTCTCGGTACTATGGTACGGTCTAAATCCTGACTGGAAATCCTCACAGATATCATTTCTTTCCAGAAAGGAACACAGTTGTGAGGATACTGCTTTTTCCAGTATCTTTACTGGAATTAATGATATTAAGAAGAGGATCTATGACCTCCGGAAGCATCTCTTTCAGTAGTTTAGTCGGTATAGGGTCTAGCATACAAGTTGTTGATTTAGATGAATTAACGAGCTTGCAAAATTCTTTTTCCCCTATAGCAGCAAATGAACCAAATCTTTCCTCAGGGAGACAACAATGCAGCCTCTGATGCGATACTGTAGTAGACAGTTGCATAGTTATAATTTTGTCCCTGATATTATCAATATTATAAGTGAAGAAATTCATAAAGTCATTACTGCTGTGATGCTTGGACACTTCTGGGCTTGAAGTCAGGGAGCAGAGGGGGTGCGTGTTGTGTCAGGAGTCAGTTTGAGCTTACCTGGTATGTGTTACTGTTTTGTTCATCTGCAATAAAAACAAACAAAAAAAAACAATACTGTATGATTAAAAAAAGAGGAGTCAGTTTGAGGTTAAAAGTGATGATGAAGTGGTCTGAGGTGTGCAGTAGAGTAACTAACGTGTTGTCCGTGCAGCAGCAGCGTGTGTAGACACGGTCCAGTTGGTGACCTGATTTGTGAGTAGCCGTACTAGACACTCGCTTGAGGTCAAATGAGGCCAGTAGAGTGTTGAAGTCCGCAGCCTGGGTTTATCAAGCTGGATGTTGAAGTCACGAGTAGGACCAGAGGAGGGCCGTCCACAGGGTAGTTTAAGACTAACACGTCTAATTCTAAGAAGTTACCCAGTTGACCTGGGGTACGATAAACAACTACAAGGTGGATTTTAATTGGGTTAGTAATTACTAACAACAGTAATAACTGTTGCCAGTTAGAGATGGGAAAGGATTACATTTCCATTCATTTGAGAAGCAGACCAGTACCTCCACCGCTCCCAGTTGGGTGAGGGCACTAAGGGGTGTGGGAAAAAGTGAAATGAATGGAGAGTGCTGCAGGAGTGGCAGTGTCCTCAGGTTTGATCCAGGTCTCATTTAGGGCCATGAGGTTGAGACTTTGATGAGTAGCAATAGATGAAATAAAGTCTGCTTAGTTTACAGCAGATTGGTAGTTCCAGAATGGAGATTAAGTAGTAGAGGACATAGAGATAATATGCAGATTGTAGGGATTGTGCTGCCTCCAATGTACAGAGCGCGATTTAGTTGGCAGTAATATAAAAGATTTGAAAGCACATGGTGAATTCAGTTCACTAAAACAAACAAATGAGAACAAGCTGTACAGAAAGGAAAGAAATGGGGGGAAAAGCAATACTGTGATTTGTCGGTGTCTTTGCTCGGTGGAGTCGCGCAGGTCGAGTCGCTGGTCTTTACACTCTTCGCTCTTCATACGATGAGGGCTTCACACAAGGGCTGCCTAACCACTAACCAATTATATACATGCCTAATACTGTGTTAATGAATAGAGCAGGCCACGCCCTAATACTTTGCAAAGTGAAACTCAAAAGCCACGCAAGATGTGCGACAAACAATCAAACAAGACTTCAGCACGTGTTGTACCACGGTAAACCCAGCAAACAAAACAAAGTTTCCTAGCAACAAAGAACCATGTTAAAATATAGTGAGAAAAGCAAACACTCACGAGCTGATGTGTTCTCCTGTTGCTTGACCGCTTCTTCTCTTGCAGGCACGGGATCAGTACGATGATGCTGTGAGTTCGGGTCAGCAGGCGTTTCTGCTGGAAGAGAGCGATGAGAGTTCAGATGTCTTCAAACTGAGTGTCGGGTGTTTGTCTCCGGGTCAGAGCGCCGTCATCAACATCGTCTATGTGATGGAGCTCAGCGTTCAGGCCGACCACGCACTGCGCTTCTGTCTACCGGCCGTACTCAACCCCAGATACACACCCACAGGTGCGGTTTAACCCCAGATACACACCCACAGGTGCGGTTTAACCCCAGATACACACCCACAGGTGCGGTTTAACCCCAGATACACACCCACAGGTGCAGTTTAACCCCAGATACACACCCACAGGTGCGGTTTAACCCCAGATACACACCCACAGGTGCGGTTTAACCCCAGATACACACCCACAGGTGCAGTTTAACCCCAGATACACACCCACAGGTGCAGTTTAACCCCAGATACACACCCACAGGTGCGGTTTAACCCCAGATACACACCCACAGGTGCGGTTTAACCCCAGATACACACCCACAGGTGCAGTTTAACCCCAGATACACACCCACAGGTGCGGTTTAACCCCAGATACACACCCACAGGTGCAGTTTAACCCCAGATACACACCCACAGGTGCGGTTTAACCCCAGATACACACCCACAGGTGCAGTTTAACCCCAGATACACACCCACAGGTGCAGTTTAACCCCAGATACACACCCACAGGTGCAGTTTAACCCCAGATACACACCCACAGGTGCAGTTTAACCCCAGATACACACCCACAGGTGCAGTTTAACCCCAGATACACACCCACAGGTGCAGTTTAACCCCAGATACACACCCACAGGTGCAGTTTAACCCCAGATACACACCCACAGGTGCAGTTTAACCCCAGATACACACCCACAGGTGCGGTTTAACCCCAGATACACACCCACAGGTGCAGTTTAACCCCAGATACACACCCACAGGTGCAGTTTAACCCCAGATACACACCCACAGGTGCGGTTTAACCCCAGATACACACCCACAGGTGCAGTTTAACCCCAGATACACACCCACAGGTGCAGTTTAACCCCAGATACACACCCACAGGTGCAGTTTAACCCCAGATACACACCCACAGGTGCAGTTTAACCCCAGATACACACCCACAGGTGCAGTTTAACCCCAGATACACACCCACAGGTGCAGTTTAACCCCAGATACACACCCACAGGTGCAGTTTAACCCCAGATACACACCCACAGGTGCAGTTTAACCCCAGATACACACCCACAGGTGCAGTTTAACCCCAGATACACACCCACAGGTGCAGTTTAACCCCAGATACACACCCACAGGTGCAGTTTAACCCCAGATACACACCCACAGGTGCAGTTCAACCCCAGATACACACCCACAGGTGCAGTTTAACCCCAGATACACACCCACAGGTGCAGTTTAACCCCAGATACACACCCACAGGTGCGGTTCAACCCTAGATACACACCCACAGGTGCAGTTTAACCCCAGATACACACCCACAGGTGCGGTTCAACCCCAGATACACACCCACAGGTGCAGTTTAACCCCAGATACACACCCACAGGTGCGGTTCAACCCCAGATACACACCCACAGGTGCAGTTTAACCCCAGATACACACCCACAGGTGCAGTTTAACCCCAGATACACACCCACAGGTGCAGTTTAACCCCAGATACACACCCACAGGTGCAGTTTAACCCCAGATACACACCCACAGGTGCAGTTTAACCCCAGATACACACCCACAGGTGCGGTTCAACCCCAGATACACACCCACAGGTGCAGTTTAACCCCAGATACACACCCACAGGTGCAGTTTAACCCCAGATACACACCCACAGGTGCAGTTTAACCCCAGATACACACCCACAGGTGCAGTTTAACCCCAGATACACACCCACAGGTGCAGTTCAACCCCAGATACACACCCACAGGTGCAGTTTAACCCCAGATACACACCCACAGGTGCAGTTTAACCCCAGATACACACCCACAGGTGCAGTTTAACCCCAGATACACACCCACAGGTGCAGTTTAACCCCAGATACACACCCACAGGTGCAGTTTAACCCCAGATACACACCCACAGGTGCAGTTCAACCCCAGATACACACCCACAGGTGCAGTTTAACCCCAGATACACACCCACAGGTGCAGTTTAACCCCAGATACACACCCACAGGTGCAGTTTAACCCCAGATACACACCCACAGGTGCAGTTTAACCCCAGATACACACCCACAGGTGCAGTTTAACCCCAGATACACACCCACAGGTGCAGTTCAACCCCAGATACACACCCACAGGTGCAGTTCAACCCCAGATACACACCCACAGGTGCAGTTTAACCCCAGATACACACCCACAGGTGCAGTTTAACCCCAGATACACACCCACAGGTGCAGTTTAACCCCAGATACACACCCACAGGTGCAGTTTAACCCCAGATACACACCCACAGGTGCAGTTCAACCCCAGATACACACCCACAGGTGCAGTTTAACCCCAGATACACACCCACAGGTGCAGTTTAACCCCAGATACACACCCACAGGTGCAGTTTAACCCCAGATACACACCCACAGGTGCAGTTTAACCCCAGATACACACCCACAGGTGCAGTTTAACCCCAGATACACACCCACAGGTGCAGTTCAACCCCAGATACACACCCACAGGTGCGGTTCAACCCCAGATACACACCCACAGGTGCAGTTCAACCCCAGATACACACCCACAGGTGCAGTTTAACCCCAGATACACACCCACAGGTGCGGTTCAACCCCAGATACACACCCACAGGTGCAGTTTAACCCCAGATACACACCCACAGGTGCAGTTTAACCCCAGATACACACCCACAGGTGCAGTTTAACCCCAGATACACACCCACAGGTGCGGTTCAACCCCAGATACACACCCACAGGTGCAGTTTAACCCCAGATACACACCCTCAGGTGCGGTTCAACCCCAGATACACACCCACAGGTGCAGTTTAACCCCAGATACACACCCACAGGTGCGTTCAACCCCAGATACACACCCACAGGTGCAGTTTAACCCCAGATACACACCCACAGGTGCAGTTTAACCCCAGATACACACCCACAGGTGCAGTTTAACCCCAGATACACACCCACAGGTGCAGTTTAACCCCAGATACACACCCACAGGTGCAGTTCAACCCCAGATACACACCCACAGGTGCAGTTTAACCCCAGATACACACCCACAGGTGCAGTTTAACCCCAGATACACACCCACAGGTGCAGTTCAACCCCAGATACACACCCACAGGTGCAGTTTAACCCCAGATACACACCCACAGGTGCAGTTTAACCCCAGATACACACCCACAGGTGCAGTTCAACCCCAGATACACACCCACAGGTGCAGTTTAACCCCAGATACACACCCACAGGTGCAGTTTAACCCCAGATACACACCCACAGGTGCAGTTCAACCCCAGATACACACCCTCAGGTGCAGTTTAACCCCAGATACACACCCACAGGTGCAGTTTAACCCCAGATACACACCCACAGGTGCAGTTTAACCCCAGATACACACCCACAGGTGCAGTTTAACCCCAGATACACACCCACAGGTGCAGTTTAACCCCAGATACACACCCACAGGTGCAGTTCAACCCCAGATACACACCCACAGGTGCAGTTTAACCCCAGATACACACCCACAGGTGCAGTTTAACCCCAGATACACACCCACAGGTGCAGTTTAACCCCAGATACACACCCACAGGTGCAGTTCAACCCCAGATACACACCCACAGGTGCAGTTTAACCCCAGATACACACCCACAGGTGCAGTTTAACCCCAGATACACACCCACAGGTGCAGTTTAACCCCAGATACACACCCACAGGTGCAGTTTAACCCCAGATACACACCCACAGGTGCAGTTTAACCCCAGATACACACCCACAGGTGCAGTTTAACCCCAGATACACACCCACAGGTGCAGTTTAACCCCAGATACACACCCACAGGTGCAGTTTAACCCCAGATACACACCCACAGGTGCAGTTTAACCCCAGATACACACCCACAGGTGCAGTTTAACCCCAGATACACACCCACAGGTGCAGTTTAACCCCAGATACACACCCACAGGTGCAGTTTAACCCCAGATACACACCCACAGGTGCAGTTTAACCCCAGATACACACCCACAGGTGCAGTTTAACCCCAGATACACACCCACAGGTGCAGTTTAACCCCAGATACACACCCACAGGTGCAGTTTAACCCCAGATACACACCCACAGGTGCAGTTTAACCCCAGATACACACCCACAGGTGCAGTTTAACCCCAGATACACACCCACAGGTGCAGTTTAACCCCAGATACACACCCACAGGTGCAGTTTAACCCCAGATACACACCCACAGGTGCAGTTTAACCCCAGATACACACCCACAGGTGCAGTTTAACCCCAGATACACACCCACAGGTGCAGTTTAACCCCAGATACACACCCACAGGTGCAGTTTAACCCCAGATACACACCCACAGGTGCAGTTTAACCCCAGATACACACCCACAGGTGCAGTTTAACCCCAGATACACACCCACAGGTGCAGTTCAACCCCAGATACACACCCACAGGTGCAGTTTAACCCCAGATACACACCCACAGGTGCAGTTTAACCCCAGATACACACCCACAGGTGCAGTTTAACCCCAGATACACACCCACAGGTGCAGTTTAACCCCAGATACACACCCACAGGTGCAGTTTAACCCCAGATACACACCCACAGGTGCAGTTTAACCCCAGATACACACCCACAGGTGCAGTTTAACCCCAGATACACACCCACAGGTGCAGTTTAACCCCAGATACACACCCACAGGTGCAGTTTAACCCCAGATACACACCCACAGGTGCAGTTTAACCCCAGATACACACCCACAGGTGCAGTTTAACCCCAGATACACACCCACAGGTGCAGTTTAACCCCAGATACACACCCACAGGTGCGGTTTAACCCCAGATACACACCCACAGGTGCAGTTTAACCCCAGATACACACCCACAGGTGCAGTTTAACCCCAGATACACACCCACAGGTGCAGTTTAACCCCAGATACACACCCACAGGTGCAGTTTAACCCCAGATACACACCCACAGGTGCAGTTTAACCCCAGATACACACCCACAGGTGCAGTTTAACCCCAGATACACACCCACAGGTGCAGTTTAACCCCAGATACACACCCACAGGTGCAGTTTAACCCCAGATACACACCCACAGGTGCAGTTTAACCCCAGATACACACCCACAGGTGCAGTTTAACCCCAGATACACACCCACAGGTGCAGTTTAACCCCAGATACACACCCACAGGTGCAGTTTAACCCCAGATACACACCCACAGGTGCAGTTTAACCCCAGATACACACCCACAGGTGCGGTTTAACCCCAGATACACACCCACAGGTGCGGTTTAACCCCAGATACACACCCACAGGTGCAGTTTAACCCCAGATACACACCCACAGGTGCAGTTTAACCCCAGATACACACCCACAGGTGCGGTTTAACCCCAGATACACACCCACAGGTGCGGTTTAACCCCAGATACACACCCACAGGTGCGGTTTAACCCCAGATACACACCCACAGGTGCGGTTTAACCCCAGATACACACCCACAGGTGCGGTTTAACCCCAGATACACACCCACAGGTGCAGTTTAACCCCAGATACACACCCACAGGTGCAGTTTAACCCCAGATACACACCCACAGGTGCAGTTCAACCCCAGATACACACCCACAGGTGCAGTTTAACCCCAGATACACACCCACAGGTGCAGTTTAACCCCAGATACACACCCACAGGTGCAGTTTAACCCCAGATACACACCCACAGGTGCGGTTTAACCCCAGATACACACCCACAGGTGCAGTTTAACCCCAGATACACACCCACAGGTGCAGTTTAACCCCAGATACACACCCACAGGTGCGGTTTAACCCCAGATACACACCCACAGGTGCGGTTTAACCCCAGATACACACCCACAGGTGCAGTTTAACCCCAGATACACACCCACAGGTGCAGTTCAACCCCAGATACACACCCACAGGTGCGGTTTAACCCCAGATACACACCCACAGGTGCAGTTTAACCCCAGATACACACCCACAGGTGCGGTTTAACCCCAGATACACACCCACAGGTGCAGTTCAACCCCAGATACACACCCACAGGTGCAGTTTAACCCCAGATACACACCCACAGGTGCAGTTTAACCCCAGATACACACCCACAGGTGCAGTTTAACCCCAGATACACACCCACAGGTGCAGTTTAACCCCAGATACACACCCACAGGTGCAGTTTAACCCCAGATACACACCCACAGGTGCAGTTTAACCCCAGATACACACCCACAGGTGCAGTTTAACCCCAGATACACACCCACAGGTGCAGTTTAACCCCAGATACACACCCACAGGTGCAGTTTAACCCCAGATACACACCCACAGGTGCAGTTTAACCCCAGATACACACCCACAGGTGCGGTTTAACCCCAGATACACACCCACAGGTGCAGTTTAACCCCAGATACACACCCACAGGTGCGGTTTAACCCCAGATACACACCCACAGGTGCAGTTTAACCCCAGATACACACCCACAGGTGCAGTTTAACCCCAGATACACACCCACAGGTGCAGTTTAACCCCAGATACACACCCACAGGTGCAGTTTAACCCCAGATACACACCCACAGGTGCAGTTTAACCCCAGATACACACCCACAGGTGCAGTTTAACCCCAGATACACACCCACAGGTGCAGTTTAACCCCAGATACACACCCACAGGTGCAGTTTAACCCCAGATACACACCCACAGGTGCAGTTCAACCCCAGATACACACCCACAGGTGCAGTTTAACCCCAGATACACACCCACAGGTGCAGTTTAACCCCAGATACACACCCACAGGTGCGGTTTAACCCCAGATACACACCCACAGGTGCGGTTTAACCCCAGATACACACCCACAGGTGCGGTTTAACCCCAGATACACACCCACAGGTGCGGTTTAACCCCAGATACACACCCACAGGTGCGGTTTAACCCCAGATACACACCCACAGGTGCGGTTTAACCCCAGATACACACCCACAGGTGCGGTTTAACCCCAGATACACACCCACAGGTGCAGTTTAACCCCAGATACACACCCACAGGTGCAGTTCAACCCCAGATACACACCCACAGGTGCAGTTTAACCCCAGATACACACCCACAGGTGCAGTTTAACCCCAGATACACACCCACAGGTGCGGTTTAACCCCAGATACACACCCACAGGTGCGGTTTAACCCCAGATACACACCCACAGGTGCAGTTTAACCCCAGATACACACCCACAGGTGCAGTTCAACCCCAGATACACACCCACAGGTGCAGTTTAACCCCAGATACACACCCACAGGTGCAGTTTAACCCCAGATACACACCCACAGGTGCAGTTTAACCCCAGATACACACCCTCAGGTGCGGTTCAACCCTAGAGACACACCCACAGGTGCAGTTTAACCCCAGATACACACCCTCAGGTGCGGTTCAACCCTAGAGACACACCCACAGGTGCAGTTTAACCCCAGATACACACCCACAGGTGCAGTTTAACCCCAGATACACACCCACAGGTGCGGTTTAACCCCAGATACACACCCACAGGTGCGGTTTAACCCCAGATACACACCCACAGGTGCAGTTTAACCCCAGATACACACCCACAGGTGCAGTTCAACCCCAGATACACACCCTCAGGTGCAGTTCACTTGATTCATCAAACACACACTGAGATCACGCATGAACACCCATAAAGAGCTCATGATCATATTTACACACAGGCTGCAACACTAATTGTCCACATCTTCACAAGTGTTTTACCACATGGTTTTAAAAAATCAGTTATGTTTGATATAAAGCAGCAAAGATTTTAAAAACAAAACAAAAATAAATACATAACATCTTTTATTATAAAACTATTCTTCCCAGAATTCATTGTGAATGATGTAGTCAAACCTTTTCTGAAAGATCAAATGTTTCTGAAAGAGTCTCTTCTGCATCACAAAGGCTGCTGTTATTCGATTAAAAATACAGTAAAAACAGATAAATGTAAATCAGCTGTTTTCTATGTGAATATATAGTGTAATTTATTCCTGTGATCAAAGCTGAATTTCCAGCATCATTACTCCAGTCTTCAGTGTCACATGATCCTTCAGAAACCATTGTAATATAATGATTTGATACTGAAATATTTAGGATTTTTATCCATAAACAGATGCGCAGGTCAGTTCTGGTTGGCAGTTCGGCTCTATATTGATTCTTGGTTGTATAGTATCTGTGTTTGTCCGTGTGATTCTCTCAGCTTCAGCCGCTGGTGTTCCAGAAGTTTCCTCAGCATCTGTTATTCCGTACACACTGTCTCTGAGTGTTGATGTGAGATCTTCAGATCGTATCTCCAGGCTTGAGTCTAACTGCCCTCTGGATCCTCTGGTGTTCCTCGACGCACTCCACACTCATGCCACGGTACTGTGTGTGTCTGTGTGTGTGTGTGTGTGTGTGAGAGTGTGTGTATGTGTTTGTGTACAGGTTTTATGCACTTAGCATCTGTAATGTGTGTAGGTGAGTCTGAGTGCTGGTCACCGCTTCGATAAGGATGTTGAGCTGCTTCTGTACTATGAGAATACCCACCAGCCCAGAGCTGTCGTGGAGGCCGGAGCAGCCACGGCTCAACCAGGTACAGGCTTCAGTTTTTACATTAAAGAGATACTTCAGGATTTAGCATCAAGATTTGTATTAGTATTTTCAAATCACCATGCTTCCCACTCTCATATTTCCTTGACACGAGAGATTTATATATTTTTGTCTGAAAAACATCCTCCGATGACGCATCATCGTTTTGTGTCATCGGATGATTTTTTGGTCAGAGGCTAAAGACTACAGTCAGTAGTAGGGGCTGTCCCGCATGTTCTCAGCCCATAGAGGATCTCACTCACAGAACGTACACATAGTTTCAGACATCTTTTTTGGAAGAAAAGCGAGCAGGCTCTCATTCTGTTGAGAAAGCTGAGTAACTTAGTTGGAGAAAGTTGAGTAGTAGGGGTTACTATTCATCCTCTTCTTCCCGGACATGTCCATCCGTCGATGCCTGGGAATCAGCTTTTGCTTTCTGCAGTCGCCATTCATTGTTTACATGCACACCTTTTGATTCAATCCAACTACATTCAGATTCACCAATCTGAACTAATTCAGTGTTTACATGAAAGCTAAACAAGTGATCAGTTAATGTGCGTTTTAGAAAATTCCCTCTCCTCTGTGAGAGATTCGAGAGCGGTGCGTCTCACGTGTGTCTCATCGGTAATCAAATAATAATAATAATTATTATTTGATAATTGATTATTATGGCCTTGCGCCGTTCTCCTGTGGCCCTCACTCGTCCTGCTCACCACAGAAAGCCCAATCCCCGATATTTTGGGTGATCTCGACTCATCACGGAGACTCACTAGTAGCCTAGACTTGCTGTTTAACGACTGCGCTCTGTTACCGGTAGGCGTGGCCTCCTAAATACATTTTCTGGCTTTTTTCAGTCTAGAAAGCTTCAAATTCAAAAATAATTTCACATTTCTTCTACATAAATGACCCATTTTTAGGTGAAGTATCCCTTCAATTCAGTATGCTGTAAATATACTATTGTGTCAGTTAAGGGGTTACTTCACCCTAAAATGAAAATTGTAGGCAAGACACATTTTTGATGGTGTTTGTAGTTCTTATCATAATTATCATGTTCTCGCCCTGATCTCTGATGTTTAGGTTGGGTTGTTTGTGAGTTGGGACTAGGGACTTTATTAGTTCAGGGAGTTTGATTCGCTCCGCAGGATAGAGACTGTCATACAGTGAAACACGAATCATACACAACAGAATTCAGGCTGTTTACACCCGCTTACCCTGTTTACACTGTTTCGGTTTCAGGCTCTCTGATGGGCGACCCTGTGCTCATGATCAGTTTGTACCCAGAGTTCCCTGCAGACGTGATGTCATCGCTGACATCTCAAGGGGAGTTTGTGTTTGTGGTTGACAGATCAGGCAGTATGGACTGCAGCATGCATAATGGGAAAGACGCACCGATGCGCATCGAAAGTGCAAGAGTAAGATTTCGGATTTCACAAATTACACATATTGAGATTTGAGTCACTGTTGCTCACTGTACACGCTTCTCTCTCTTCTCTCTACTGTACTCACCGTACATGCGTCTCTACTGTACTCACACACACACACTGTGCCTCTGCAGGACACGCTGCTGCTGCTGCTGAAGAGTCTTCCCATGGGATGCTACTTCAACATCTATGGATTCGGCTCTCACTTCGAGTCCTTCTTCCCGTCAGTAACGTTAGTTGCTCTTCATGAATGACCTCATGCTGGTCAGCGGTGGTTTAGTGAGAGACTGTGGTGTGTGTCGTTGCAGTCAGAGTGTTGTGTACAGCGAGGACACGATGGAAGAGGCTCTGAAGAGAGTAAAGAACATGAAGGCAGACATGGGTGGCACAGAGATCCTTCAGCCTCTGAAACACATCTACAGTCAGAGCTGTTACCCGGATCACCCCCGACAGGTACACACACACACACACACACACACTTCCTGAACACTGCCACGGTGTGTTTCTGAGCCTGATTCTCTCTCAGCTGTTCATGTTCACTGATGGAGAGGTGTGGAACACTAAAGAGGTGCTGGACCTGGTGAAAAGTCACGTTCACTCTCACAGGTGGGCGCTCACGTCTCACGTCTCCTTTACTGAGGTCACCCGCTTCACTTCAGCTTCACTTCATGTCAGACGGTCCTGTGTCCTCAGGTGTTTCTCCTTCGGGATTGGTGAGGGTGCGAGTACGGCTCTCATCACAGGAATGGCCAGAGAAGGTTCTGGTCACGCTCAGTTCATCACAGGCACTGACCGCATGCAGCCCAAAGTAAGATCTGCCCTGGACAGCATCAGTATGAGACGTTCAGGGTTTTTATTCCCCATCCTCTCTTGTTCTTCTCCTTCAGGTGATGCAGTCGCTCCGGTTTGCTCTCCAGCCGGCCGTGGATAATATCTCGGTGGACTGGACGGTTCCTGAGGGCGTTACGGTGGACATGCTGTCTCCCCCCGTCAGTGCCCTGTTCCAGGGTCAGAGGGCGCTCCTCTACGCTCAGCTGAAAGGACAGGTCAAAGCTTTTAATTGGGGTCCTATTACGCCCTTTTACAAAGTCTTGATTTAGTTTTTTGGGTGTACTAGAATATGATGATTTCATGCTTGATTGTTCAAAATAACATTATTTTTCACATATTTTACATTATTACAGCTCCTCTCTCCCCAGTCTGTCCAGAAAATGTTGTATGAATTCCCCCCTTCCGAAATACAAGATGTGCAGTGATTGGCAGCGCTTGCCGTGTTCGGAAAGTGTCCCGCCGCTCCATTACCGAGAGTTCATTGTGGTTCTGGAAGCTGTTCTTTATAAAATGTGCAGCACACAGATACACTTCAGGATTATAATGTTCAGGAACAGTGTTTAAAATGTGATTTTACCCATTCTAAGTTCGTCAGAAGGTCAAACTAATTATGTTTTATTAAAGGGTTAGTTCACCCAAAAATGAAAATTCTGTCAGTATTTACTCACCCTCATGTTGTTCCAACCCGTAAGACCTTCGTTCATCTTCGTAACACAAATTAAGATATTTAAGATATTAAGATCGCTCCTGCATACTAGTCCATAGGCCTCTTGAAGGAATTTTGATTTTCCTGATCTCGAAATGAGCATTTTAAGGTGTTTTGATGGCCAGAAAAATTTACAATAGTAGCCGTAAAAGCATGAAGTTGCCTATTTGATCAGATTCTTAAACATGAGAATCAGTTCCAGTTTCAGCGACTTTTCTTTCCTAAATTAATCAATGTTTTTTGGACTAATCTGTTAATTTAATTAATGGTTCAATTGCTCACTCAAAAAGACAGTCACTTGTCGCCACCCTCTGGCTTAATGATGCAAGTGGCGCAAATACAGACAAGCAGAGTTAGCCTATACAAGCAGTAAAAAGTCAAACACATTCGAAAAAACGTTATACAAATATATTTATTCAATAATAATGGCAATATATTTAATAGGGTGCTTGTGTTGTTAAATTGAGCTTATACTTTCCACTGTCTTTAATAAAACTGATTATTTCTGTCAGTCATTTAAAACGTCTATTGAAAAACAGCCGTAAATTTGAGCTACTTGCATCTTATCTCGCACTGTATGATCGTTAACTGAAGTGAAGCGTCGCGTTGGGATTCGCGCTCGGCTCGCGCTTCTGTGAACAAAAATCCTGCATTCTTTGATTGCTCTCACGAACATTTTGATATTGACGAGCAGGTGAGTGCTGAAGCAGATCAGATGAGAAGGTCAGTTATCGTCGCGATGGGAGAATCATTGCAGCAACAAATTAGAGTTAATATTACGGGTACAACTCTAACTGGGTGTTTTTTTTTTACTCACGAAATTGGATTAGCAACTAAATGATGCGCATCAGAGGGGATTTAGAAGTGAGTATACGCAATGCCGACTGAAAAGGAAGTGGGTATACCCTGCACTACACCACTGCTTATAAAATATATGTAATGGAGATGGAACATTATGTGTTTGGTATCTATGGATTCAGAAGAGCCTAAGCTAACATAAGCACGCATGTAATGTGTTTATAAAGGAAGTATGAGTGAAAAATTTACAATATACTAGAGAAGTTAAAAAACGGAAATTACATTTTTGTCATTTATTTCTGAAAATCACACGTCACAAAACAATAGTGAATAGTTTTTGAACAAAAAAATTGTCAAAGCCTTTGCTTGACAGACATGTGTAATTGTTAAATAAAATTGATTTATTTACGTTATTTACAAATAGTCCCAGGCGTTTTTCTTAGGAATGTTTAGAATTTTTTAAGCAATGCTTTCTCCTCGTCACTGTCCAGTAACTGTTCCAGAGCCTGTTCCACTGTTAATCATAAAAGAGCTAAAATAATAAATAATGCTATAATTGTATGTATATATATTATAATTCTTCTGTCTCTCTCTCATATAAATCTCAGCGCGCTCTCGCTCCGTAAAGCCTTGTTTATACTCGACGCGTCCTTCGCTTTCTGTCGTCTCCTCCACTCTACGCAACATCGCAACATCACAACATCGATTTCATTGGCCTTTGACGGTGTGTATACAAGCCGTGTATCTCCGGTGTGTATCGCCGTGTATCATCACTGTTTTCAGCAGAATCTGAGGAAGACGGCAAAAAGACCGCACTTCTCTATCATGAATAGTTTTTATGAGAAGTACACATTTGTAAAAGTATGTGATTTTGGGCGGTACCGCCCAATCCGTCCTCAGAGGGTTAAATCATGGCCTTTGGAGACCACGGCCGCACTGTTTAAATCAAGGGCTACTTTAAACTGTAAAATGTTAATCGGCTGTGTGGTTCTTCTGAAAAATAGCTGCGTTGCCTTTGATGTGATGAAACACTGGCCCTTGTAAGAAAGTAGTTGAAGAGTGTCAAATCATCAGAGGCTCACGTTACTGTCTGTGTCTCTCTCGTCATAGAGTTCAGGAAAGACAGAAGGAGCAGTTACTGTGAAATACAGGCTGAAAGATCAACCAGTGACTAACCAGCTCCAGTTTACTCTTAAACCAACGGAAGACACAGGGTAACACGCATACACTCACGCTAACACACACTCACACACACACACACACACACTCCCTCAGATTTGTTTTGCTGTTGAATCGGTGTCCTCTGATCTTCGTTGGCCTTTACTGTACGTTCACACCGCCGCCGACTTGAGCTTCCAAAGCGGCCGGAAGTCATTCATTTTCAGCGAAGCTTCTCTCGGCTGCACGGAGCGTCGAATCCATCGGCCTCGCCTTTTGAGCATTTTGAGTGTCAATCAGAAAGTTGAAGAAGTTTAACTTTATGGTAATGAGCTGTGACGCGGTTCTAGGACTCTATGAAATCCATTTTATTTTTTCCCAAATTCCTTTTTATTTTTTCCCAAATTCCGTTTTTTCCGTTTTTATTTTTGGGAATTCGTTTTTTTTACCCTTGACTGTTATTTTAGTCATAAAAAGAGTGTGCTTTTAAAGTTAATGATTAAAATGTATTAAAAAATACAAATAAATTAGGAATGACCTTAAATTTATTGAGGTAATACAGACATTTACTCAGTAGCCTTTTCAGGACAAATCCTGCATGATGCAACGTAACATTGCACTCTTCACTCTTATTGCACTCTTATGCAAGTTATAACAAAATATGGTTATGAGCTTTAAACTGTCCAGTAATATAATTTATATTATTTTATATAAGTTTAAATAAAGTCACACTCTGTCTCTCTCTCGCCCAGTGTCGCTTCGCTTTTGTCCAGTCCGGCGCCTCATGGACTGACACGGTGTGCACGTTGTGTGTGTGTGTGTGTGTGTGTGTGTGAGAGAGAGAGAGAGAGAGAGAGAGGGAGAGCAGGGAAATACAACTGAAAGAATACGTTGCGTGTTTTAAAGAGTGTTAAAAAATGAAACACAGTATGTGGCGGCGAATTAGTTTATGTGTGGGAAACACTGCATAAGTCACGTGCAAACTGCTCGGCTCGACGGCTTATAGCGTCGAGTTTCTTAACTTTTCTGCCGACGAAAGCAGAGCCGTGGAGAGCCGCTTCGCCATGCTTTCATTGTTTTGATTTCGTCATTGTAGCTGAAATGACGGGTGGGGGGTTGTGTCGCCCAGATTTGCTTCCTCCGGTCTGCATTTTCACCAGACATGCGTTCTTCTCCCACACAAAACAGAATTTCAAACAAAATATGTAAAATTCCACAAAATTCCGTGTTAACACTAGATTCCACGTTAATTGGCCAATTCCGCAATGGGCTCTATGCACGGCGGTGTTTCCGGTGAAGGTGTAAGGATGCTCGATAACTTCCGCCGATCGTAGAGTCGGGTGCGGGAAGTGTGTGCGGGAAGTGTGTGCGGGAAGTGTGTGCGGGAAGTGTGTGCGGGAAGGGTTATTGTTATTTGGCTGTAATAAGAGTATTATAGATGTGAGATGAAACAGTACAAAGAAGAGTGGCATCAGATGACCAGCGTTCACACTAGTGCCACTTTATCAGATCTAGTTCACTAGCCGCCGGGCCTCACGGGTGTGTGTGTGTGTTGCATAGACTGTCCTCACAGGTGTGTGTGTGTGTGTGTTGCATAGACTGTCCTCACAGGTGTGTGTGTGTGTGTTGCAGGGACTGTCCTCACTGGTGTGTGTGTGTGTGTGTTGCAGAGACTGTCCTCACTGGTGTGTGTGTGTGTGTGTGTGTGTGTGTGTGTTTCAGGCGGACGATCCACCAGCTGGCGGCCCGGTGTGTGTTGCGCGGTCTGGAGCTGGAGGAGCGAGCCGCAGGAGCCGACACACAGGCCCTCAGGAGCCGGATCGTGGAGCTCAGTGTTCAGGCCGGAGTGAGCAGCGTTCACACAGCCTTCATCGCCGTCAACACACACAGCAAGCAGACCATCACCGGCCCCCTGCTGCAGAGGAGAGTGCCCGTACAGCGTGAGTCACTGGTGTGTGTGTGTGTGTGTGTGTGAAGAGCAGGAGAGTGGTGTGTGTGTGTGTGCGTGTGTGTGTAGAGCAAGAGAGTGATGTGTGTGTGTGTGTGTGTGTGTAGAGCAGGCGAGTGATCCCGGAGACACACACTGTCCTCCAGTCTAAACTCCGCTGAGGACACTGGCTCTCCGGGATCAGGATCTCAGAAGCAGATTCCTGACACACGTGTGTGTGTGTGTGTGTGTGTGTGTGTGATAATATCAGTGTTATGACATCTTCATCATTCTGTTGCTTATAGAAATGGCGGCTCCGATGTTTAGTGCCCCGATGAGGAGGATGTGCGGTGAGAAATAACACACTCTTTCCTTTAACCTCTTATATGGGTCAGTCAATCTCAAGGGGAGGGTTAGTTTTCTATTTTTTTGAGTGATGATTTTTATGTATTGATGATATATTTATTCATTTGTATTTTATCTGGTTTAACTGCAGTGCCTGTCTTTTGTTTGGTCATTAAAAAAAAAGAAAAACCCTAATTTGGGGTTTGAATGTTCCTGGTGGGACCAGGCAGAAATCCTCTTTATTTTAACATAAAACTAAGTTTGACTAAGCCTGAACAAACTGAATACAAACAAACTTTGTACTTCATTATAGTTGAGATAGAAATGCATTAGATTACTATCTCAATTAGTAGTTAGATGGAATACTGAGTAATTTTATCTTTTATTTATTGTTCAGGCATATTAACCCTCAAACCGTATTCACTTTATAGCCCTTAATCCTGTAATTGTGGACAAATGTGGGCACAGAGGACTCAGGTGTGATCCTAATTTTTATTTATTATAAATGTAATATCACTGCCTTCGATAAAGTTTTGTCTATCCATTTATGGTGTTTTTATTTTTGGGGTATTTTTAAATTCATTTACTTCAAAAAGTACCATATTTTCTCTGTAAATTATTTCTATGTAAATTAATTACTATGTAGTTTTATTATTTTATTTTATTTTTTAACTACATTAAAATATCATTCTAATTAGTTCTTAGAGCTAAAACGTAAAGATGAAGTGACTTTGCTGTCACCTGTTGTCTTATTTTGGCTTATTTTAGAATGCTCTAAATTACAGTTTTTCCCATTCATTTCTATGGGTGCCCATTTTTGACCCAAAATTCAAGATTACAGAGGTTTTTTTTTTTTCACCCATTTAACATTGTAGAATTGAGTCAAAAAAAGTGTGTGTGTGTTCAGAAACAACTTAGGAAAAGTAGCCAAGTCTTGTACCGCTCAGATGAAGGCAAGTATTTTTAAAAAAATAAATCAAAACTATTTTGCCCACATTTGTCTAGAATAAGGTTTTAGGGTTAATAAAGGGGACACACTCGTTCATCTTGCTCAGTTCTGCTTCTCTAAACGCCACACGCTTGCTCTCATCTTTATGGATGAGATAAATACTGTAGTTCAAAGATTATTCCACTTTCATTGAATACTATATAATCTATTAACTCTTCAACCAATTCAAAGAAACTTGCATCTGAAAAAGTCTTTGTTTCTATAGTTCTATATTAGATGTCAAAATAAATAATTGCAACAGTTCTATCATAACTAAATTAAACTCATTCCAAAGGAAAAATGTGTTCTCTTTTGAATCTCCCTGTGCAAGAATGTGAACAAGGCGGAAGTCCACAGCACAGAAATTATTAAAATATTAATTACAAAAATTAAATATGGACAAGAAATATGAACATTAAATATGATCCATTTTTGTTTGTACTTTACAAATGAATGCAAAATGACTACTTATCTTCTAGTACAAATGCACAGTGCTCCCATTTATTTGTGCATTAGAAAATTACATATCAGTTTGTGCCTTTATTGTAATCTCACATTACTGAATATTTTTATCCAGAGATATGTGTTATAAATATATATATATATACAGTATATAATAAATACATGCTGTTTAGAGACACCTTTAATTGCCTTTTTGATTGTTTCATGAGTTAATTGACGACAGAACTACAGCTAGGGCGCCGTGAGCACTGTACAGCGGCTGACAGGACTGGGAAGTTCGTTCGTTAGGGTTAACCGCAGGCAGCTTACTGATTCAGGACAGGGGCTTTTCTCAGCATAGGGTCACCAGCTTTCACACACATCTTTAAAATAAAAGTGGTATCAGAAAAACAGAGAATTACTTTTGTTTTTTGTTTCTTTGACGGCACACTATGCGACTCACTCAAACCAACCAGTTGAGAAACATTGACTCTATATTCACTATCATTGTTGTTTTGCTGATACTCAGTCGGCACATTTCCGCACTCGTTTGACTTAACGTCTTAAAGAGACACAATTCTGTCAGGTCCATTAAGTCAAGAACACACATGACAATAAATGATTAGGAATTGGATTGAATAAATTGCAAATCAAGCTGATAATTAAAATGTGTCGGTATGGCTCTGTTCAGGGAGTCCTCTGACCTTTCATGAGCGACTGGCAGAGAGTCCGAGGACAGCATTAGGGAACGCTCACAGAACTATTGCCCCCAAACAAACCATACCAGGCAACCTCTTGTGAATAAGAAAGATGGAATTAGACAATTAAAATGCTTTGAAATCTTATGAATAAATAGTTGGCAATATGTTTCAGTTCAGATGAGTCTCCTGACCATTCATGAGCACTGTGGATTTAGCAGAGACAGCAGCAGCATTAGGGGACGCTCACATGAATTAGGGTTAGGAGAGCTGAACTATTCCCCCAAACAGACCATAAAGCCTTGTTCACACTACATGATTTAAAAACGTCGGGCTGAACTGTGCGGTTCACACTTGCTCTCAGTGAAATCAGGAGTGTTCAAGTTGTTTAGCTGTTCACACAACACAACGTGATTGATCCACAACAGGAGGTAACGCACTACATGAGTTGACAACGCACTGCATAGAGATACAACCACGATCGGATGATAAGAGCATATCATTTGTGAGCTAATCCTGCTCACCCCTAACCCCACCCTGGTCACCCCTAGCTCCGCCAATGTCAACTCATAGCTCCGCCCCCGGCCACCCCTAGCTTCTCTCTTGTCCACCCTTAGCTCCGCCCATGGTGAGCTCATAGCTCCGCCCCCGGCCACCCCTAGCTTCTCTCTTGTCCACCCTTAGCTCCGCCCATGGTCAGCTCATAGCTCCGCCCCCGGCCACCCCTAGCTTCTCTCTTGTCCACCCTTAGCTCCGCCCATGGTCAGCTCATAGCTCCGCCCCCAGCCACCCCTAGCTTCTCTCTTGTCCACCCTTAGCTCCGCCCATGGTGAGCTCATAGCTCCACCCCTGGTCAACCCTAGCTCCGCCCCTGCTCACCCCTAACCCCACCCTGGTCACCCTTAGCTCCGCCCATGGTCAGCTCATAGCTCCGCCCCCGGCCACCCCTAGCTTCTCTCTTGTCCACCCCTAGCTCCGCCCATGGTCAGCTCATAGCTCCGCCCCCGGCCACCCCTAGCTTCTCTCTTGTCCACCCTTAGCTCCGCCCATGGTGAGCTCATAGCTCAGCCCCTGGTCAACCCTAGCTACGCCCTTGTCCACCCTTAGCTCCGCCCCTGGTCAACCCTAACCCCATCCTGGTCACCCTTAGCTCCGCCCATGGTCAGCTCATAGCTCCGCCCCCGGCCACCCCTAGCTTCTCTCTTGTCCACCCCTAGCTCCGCCCATGGTCAGCTCATAGCTCCGCCCCCGGCCACCCCTAGCTTCTCTCTTGTCCACCCCTAGCTCCGCCCATGGTCAGCTCATAGCTCCGCCCCCGGCCACCCCTAGCTTCTCTCTTGTCCACCCCTAGCTCCGCCCATGGTCAGCTCATAGCTCCGCCCCTGGCCACCCCTAGCTACGCTCTTGTCCACCCTTAGCTCCGCCCCTGGGACTTGCTAGTACATTTTGACAGATGTAAGTTCTGTAATGCATTTTTATTATTTGTTATGCTTTTGTTACATCTCTACATTTCTCCAAGCACATGAATAAAGCGTTTCCTCAGATTTCTACCCACTCCATCTCTGTGTGCAGCAGATACTCCGACTTACAGTATATCTGGGGAAATTTCAGCTTTCTAGTCTATCTGGTCCAGAGAATCAAACCCAAAGTCAGGGATTTGAAAAGAAATTGCACCCTCATACTTTTATGGTCCCTTAAAATATAATGAGAAGCCTGAAATGTTCAGTATGCTCACTATATTGAACAGAGACTCAGAGCTGAGGCTATGAAACCCTAAACAATCCTGATCCTTACCTTTGACCTTCAATAAGTCTAAGGAACAAGAATGGGAAATATTTCTAATTGCTCGTAAACCATGTGAAGGTCAGTTTTTTGAGTTTGAACAACTGTCCTGAACTCAAATATTGAGGTTTCTGTAAATGTTCATGTGCAGTAATGAATATGTGTTGTGCGCCGTGATACAAAGACAGCCGCTCTGGAGAAACCAAGTAAATAAAAATACAAAACGGATGGTTTTTGAACATTAATACATCGAGGTAATCACTAAAATAGAAAAATAAAGAATGCAACTTTACAGAGATTTGAATTTCTTGAGACTGATTCGAGCCGTGTGCGTGTTTGTCTCTTGCTGGTTTAGTGTGATTGTTTTTGATTCTGTTTTATGTGTTCTTAAAATGTCTTTTATTTTTATACATGTGCTTTTCTCTTTATTCTTAGCATTGGCGGCTCCCAGGATGGCACCATGTGCAATGCCAATGCGTAAGAGAAGTACACCGCTAACAGACACTTGACGAAACTTTTCTTGTTCTTTTTCAAACGTGTAGTCATCTCACTGTCTATTTCTCCATATCTGAAAGTCTCTGTTTGAATGATCTTATCAGTTTCTCTGTTTTCTTAGTAGGGGCGGCTCCCAAGGTGCCATGTAATTCAAAGAGTAAGAAAAGTACACAGCACTTTACTCAACTTTTCTTGTTCTTTTTTTAAATGTGTATTTTCATCTTATTTTCTTTTTCTCCATATCTGGATGTCTCTGTTTGAATGATTGTTTTATGGTCTGATCAGTTTCTCTCTGTTTTCTTAGAAAAGGTTTCCAAGATCGCACTTGGTTCAATGCCTAAGAGAAGTACACCGCTACCAGACACTTCACTCAACTTTTCTTGTTCTTTTTTAAATGTGTATTGTCATCTTATTGTCTATTTCTCCATATCTGAAAGTCTCTGTTTGAATGATCTTATCTGTTTCTCTCTGTTTTCTTACCCGAGCTCCCATGATGGAATCTGATTCTGCAATGAGTAAGACAAGATATACTTTATATACTACAGATAATATATACTACAGTATATATACATTTTTTTATGAATCTAATTCTCTGTTTCTGAATGTCACTGTTTGATTGGTTTTATCATGTGCTCTTGAATCAGTGTCTGATGATGTCATGATGGACGTATCCTACTCAGCGCCAGATCCAGGTAAATCAACACATCCGGCTCAGATTCAGAAAACATTACTCTAATCAGACAGCATAGAGTGTGTGTGAGAGAGACAGTGTGTGTGTGTGTGTGTGTGTGTGTGTGTGTGTGAGTGTGTGAGCGAGAGTTTGTGAGCCACTGGAGTGAGAGCTACTGGACTGTTTCACATAGTTAGATAGTTAGGCTTAGATATAATAGAACTGTGTGTGTTCATCAGAGCCCTAAACTGTGTGTGTGTGTGTGTGTTCATCAGAGCCCTTGCCCCCGGCGGACCCGTTGCTCCAGCTGGTGTCTCTCCAGAAGGCTTCGGGACACTGGGAACTCAAAGCGGCACTCGCTGATGTGTTTGGGAAGACTGAGGACGAGCTGGCGAATCGCAGACCAGCACAGGTGGGGCACATGATACGTCATATCCTCAGATACGTCATGATTGGTTCGGTGTGTGTGTGTGTGACGTGAGGTTGTGTGTTCCAGGTGGACGGGTCAGTGTGGGCCACGGTTCTGGCTCTGATCTGGCTGCACACCTGTAGGTCAGAGGACCAGGTCGAGTGGCAGTTTGTGGCCATGAAGGCGGCGGCGTGGATCCGCTCTCAGAAACGTGAGACAATATTCATTCATTCATTCGTTCGTTCATGCGGTGATGTCGTGTTGACGAAACAGTAGTTAAAGTACTTTACAAAGATTGACAGATCCAGTCAGTGCTGTACATGTTTTGGTGAGTGTTGATTGAGTGTGTGTGTGTGTGTGTTTCAGCGGACGGCCTGTCTCAGTGTGTGTGTGACGGGAACCTCTTGTTGGGAGGTCATGTGACTGAAGACGCTTTGGAAATCTGAAGACTGAAGAAACTTGTGCTGTCAGAAAACAAATGACTCGCTCTTTATCATAAAACACACACACTCCTGTGTTTGATATTTTTAAAGAATAAAACTAACAGATTTATTTCATCGTAGCTTTAGTGTCTATCCTAAATGAATGTTGTTGCTTTAAATATGATTATAAATATATATCATCTTATGCCTGTTCAGATTACACCATTTTAGCACGATCTGTTTGACGAATGGTGTCGTGGGGATTCGTAAACGACAACATGCGTCGGGACGCAAGATTCGATCATATCATCTCGTATAGCATCGCACACGCGACAACCAACGTCGCATCTGCGATCCACCACGACAAAAAGACTAGCATGTTTTATTTTTTTAACCGTCGTCCACGATGGGTTCAGTCACATGGTTGACCAATAGGTTGACCTATAGGAGCACAGAAGCTTTTCCTTACACAACTTTCAAAAATGGCGAAACAAAAGAGAGACAATGGTGCCCATACTGTCCTCTTCGAGCAATCCAGGAACGTGTCCATCGTCGGGTTTTCTTTCTTTTTTACTTCTTTCTGAACACAGGACAGCCAATACAACACTCTCCTCTTCATCCAGTGTTTGTTTATGTTCGTTTCCGGAAGTCACTCGCTAGTTTCGCCTTCTTGATGACATCACGCGCGTCGTCTGCCGTCGCCTCATCCAGGTGGAGCTGCACATTGGTGGTGGTTGAGGAGATCCCCCTCCCCCCTCTATGTGAAGCGCTTTGAGTGTCCAGAAAGGCGCTATATAAATGTAATGAATTATTATTATTATTATTATTACTAAAGACGGCACACGATGACTGGTCAGGAAGGAACGTGTAGCCTGACATGTTTCTTGTCCACCCTAACCCTAACAAGTTTATAGGAGTCAAAATCGCGTAATCTGACAGTGACTAGTAAAAAACTAAAAAAATCGTGTAATCTGAACCAGGCATTATGGTACTTTGTGTTTTGAACTCACTATCATGATTCTGTGTGATCAAGAATCCATTATTCTGCTGTGTGTGAGCAGATGGTGTCAGTGTGTCTTTGCCACACTATTTTATTAAAGTTTTTCTTCCCTAGCCATAATTATCTGGCTGATATTTTGAGTGCATTACAATTAAGAATATTTATCTTCCAATGATGATCATTTTAATCATTTGTCTATGCATTTTACAGAAATGCATATACTGAGAAATGTTCCCAGATTAAATATGAATTGTGAGCTTGGGTAAAAGCTTTACTCAGGAAAGAGGTTAAGCGTTCTGCTCATGACTATGCTGATAGAAATGACTCAAATGGTAAGAAAGGAGGAGAGCTGAAAGAGAACGGTAACCTGGGCTCAGCTAAGGCAGTGTCTTGCTACATAGGAGAAAAAACGCCAACACAAAACTCTTGAGAAAGTCCAGAAATGAAATGATCTTCAAAATCTGAATCAGCTGACGTTATGTCTTAAAGGGATAGTTCACTTTGAAATTAATTTTGATATGTTTTATCTGACCTCAAGGGCATCCAAGATGTAGGTGTCTTTGTTTCCACAGTATTTTCAATTTTGACATTTTTCAGTCAAACCGTTGTTGTCTATCAGTCATATAATGTAGTGTCAAATAGTGTGTAATAGTGTTTAATGTTAAATTACATTGGAATTATTAAACCATTTAAATTACAGTGGGTTACCATTGTGGAGAAGAGTGGAGCATTTTGTTTGGCTGTCGACTGATTTCATTATGTTCAATTGCTTTGAATGAAGGAGCATGTAAATCTTAGCATTCAAGATGCTAACATGTGCTTCTGCTAACAAATAGCAAGCTAAAGTCTATAAATTTAATTAAATGTCACTGAATCAAATGAAATATAAATGGATGAATGAATATAATAAAATGCCGTTGAATCATGTCAGGAAGCCTTTAAAAATTCACGTTGAGACTACTTAAATTGCGTATTTTAAAATTACATAATTCTATTATGTTGAAGTTACATGAACAATTATGTTTGTTTAACGTAATCCAGTTATGTGGAACCTGTTGACAAATTAAAATTATTTAAAGCCAACATATAATTTTTTTGAGTGTAGTATGTTTGATACATCAATATTCATAAAGAGTAGGCGAGAAGTTTCTGCATGACTTAATGCTTCTGCCCAGATTCTGAAGCACCCATCAACGAATACTTTTCTATCCCAGGGGGCCACGGGGGAAGATTTGTCAAGAAGATGAAGAAGAATTGAGCATCACGGAGATCAGTGCTGCGGGTGTTTTCAAATTTGAGTAAACATGGCTGTTTAGTGAGCACAAAACATCTCCGAGGTATTGTGAATCTCCTCTTGCCCTCATGAGACCCTCCATGTGCTGAAAACAAAATCACACAAAAATTATCAATGGAAATCTAATTTATCAACCCATGGAGATTTGGATTCAAGCTCCAAATTAAAGTGGAAAACCACACTACAGGCTGATCCAACTTTGATGTAATGTCCTTAAAACAGTGTTTCCCAACCCTGTTCCTGGCGGCACACCAAAACTGCGTGTAATCTTTGTCTCCCTAATCAAACACACCTGATTCAACTCATCAGCTCATTAACCCATCTGATTATGAGCTGATGAGTTGAATCAGGTGTGTTTGATAAGGGAGACAAAGGTGCTGTGTTGGTGTGCCGCCAGGAACAGGGTTGGAAAACACTGCCTTAAAACAAGTCAAAATGAGGCTCAGTAGTGTGTGTGGACTCCACGTGCCTGTATGACATCCCTACAATGCCTGGGCATGCTCCTGATGAGGTGGCGGATGGTCTCCTGAGGGATCTCCTCTCAGACCTGGACTCCACGGCATCTCCAGACTCCGTCACGTCTGTCACATGTGCTCAGTGTAAACATGCTTTCATCTGTGAAGAGCACAGGGTGCCAGTGCCGAATTTACTAATCTTGCCAATCTCGGTGTTCTCTGGATAATGCCAAACATCCCATGGACGTCGGGCCCTCATACCACCCTCATGGAGTCTGTTTCTGACCGTTTGAGCAGACACATGCACATTTGTGGCCTGCTAGAGGTCATCTCCTGCTCCTCCTCACACAAAGACAGAGGTAGCGGTCCTGTTGCCCTCCTACGGACTTATATTACTGCCATTCAGCGGGTAACTGACCATTTATTGACTGATTTATTGCCCTCTTTATTTGATCAGTTACCTGCTGGATGGTGGTGATATCAATATCTGTGAAGGTTCAGACCTACAAATACAAATAAAAAGATCTATAAAAACGAGACTTACAGTTGTTCCCATTTTTTTTTACCCAAGCATCACATGCGAAGTGCTTGAATGCTGTGAATAACAAAAACTCCCCAATGTTGTTGTAAGGTCGGAGGACTACAGAACATTGAGCTCATAGCAAAAGACCAGGATATAGAAAGGGGTTTGAATGATTAATAATCAACTTATCAGCTGCTCAAGATATATTTAATGCTTTCTATGTTATAGTTCATCCAAAACACACTATGGACTTAAACTGATACATGATCAAACATCCATTTATCTAAACATTTAATTAAAAGAAAGCTCCAACCCATCTTTCATCTTTCTATGAATCCTGGCAGATAAAGCTCATGACAGACGAGCAGATCTGGAGACATCGTCACATCATCCTGACTATAGTAGATAAAAATACTCCTAACCTTTTTACATAAATCAGGTTATGGATCTTTCTCAATTTCAACTTGAACACAATCCTTGTAGAGTCAGATGAGTTTTGCTACAGCATGTTTTACTGTGCACAGTTTAATTAACAGAGAAACCCGTCAAATGCGACAGCTTGCTAGAAAAACCAGAACTGCTCCGGGAATGAGCTTTTATATCTGTGCTGAGGTGCATGTTGGGAACTGGGAGAAACCAAGTGTAGAAGATGAAGGGGAATGTTTTTATAAAAATGTAACAGTTTTTCAATGAGGAAACATATATTCATGTTTTTTTTAAATAATAATTTGTGAATTAGGCCATGTACAGAAAGTTTATTATATTGAGATTTGGTTCTTTGTTGAATTGAATTCCTTGTTGTTTGTGTTCCTGTCAGTGGTTTTGCCCATAATTATAAAGGCCCACAGGATGATCCTGCAGGATTTCCAGTCTGGGATGTAGATTGGAGAGGGAAGACTGAACTGAACTGAACTGAACTGAACTGAACTGAAGGTAAGACAATTATTTTTATTGTTGGTTATTTTTCACTTGTACTTTTTTGGTTTTGTAGGTCTCTACCCTTTCTGTATATTTGTATTTTCATTTTTGAAACTTTAATGCAGTACAAATGTAGTGATTGTAAACCAAAGCTTTCTGAAGCATTTTTAGGTTTTCATCAAATTGTGCCACTCCTTGATCCCAGTTTCACCGTCTTCATTAACCCAACACAGCTGAACCTCATGAACTAGTCAGTTCTTCGTTCTCTCCCAGTTAGTTACTATGGTTACTGTGGTTGGGTTAATTTACCCCAGCTGTGTCTCGTTTCTCTGATCTGTTATCTGTGTATTTAAGCTCTCTGTTTCTCCCTGGTCGTTGACTTGCATTACTTTAAGTTGTAGTTGATGTGTGTGGTTCTCCTCGTGGATTCTTCTGTTCACCGGTCTATTAATGTCTCCTGTAGTTTTCTCCATCGTTGGGCGCTTTAATACATCCACCATTTTGTAAGTGACATTTATGAGCACATCTTTTATTGACTGTCATTCACTTAATATGGATTTAATATTTAAGTGTTTAAAAGTATTTCACTTTATCTGCTTTCACATTGATTTTTGGATTTAAAAAAAAATTATTATTGTTTATTTAATTTGGTGTATCATGTTAACTGTTCTGTTTCCTCTGTAGATTTGAGATATAAATGAGTCTGATGTGAACTCTATCACTGAGATCGGATCGTTCGTGTGTTTATTTTATGTCCAACGATCCATTTACAATCTGTTCTTTGTTTTTTAAACACCTGTATTCCAGATATGCCCTCCGTTGCTCTAATGAATTAACTTAATTTGATGATTTTTGCTCCAATGAGCTCTTGATTGGAATGAGTACTGCATGTGTGTGTGATCTGATGATTTGTGTTTTTGCAGGAGCTGTTTAGGGATATAAAGGCATCTGAGTGAGTCAGAGTTCAGATACAGAGGGTCACCACATGTAGTGACCGGTGAAGTTCAGGTGAGGTCCATTCATCAATGTGCACCCTAAATAACTCAAAGAATGACATGTTCACCGATGACCGCTTGTTAATGTTAATTTGTTAAATTGCCTCTTTTGCCAACATAATCAATACTATACTTTGTAATTTGCTGTTTAAATGCTTGTCCGTTGTAAGTGTTTCTCAGGACCTCCACACGCTCTTAAATGGAGTATTAGCAGATCCTCTGCATATCTTCTGAAGCCCTCCTTGTGTGGAGACGTGAGACTTATTCTTCTTTCCATGTGCTCTTCTCTGCACTTCATGTTCTATTAAACCTTTTCTTTTGCACCTCATGCTGTTTTAACCCTATTAGGTAAACAAACTTTTATTTTGGATGCAATTAATCATGATTTATCGTTTCACAGCCCTAGATTGGATTAGATTACACAGCCCTATGTGAATTGACTTGATTTATTACATTGCCTATTGTACTTCCTAATTTATGTAGAGAAGAAGACTATTGACAAATGTGTGTGAAACAAAGAAGCTGGCTTAATTACACTAATTGTAAAACAAAAAAAGTGCAGGCATTGTGTTGTTAGGGCTTGTATTTTTATGGGCTGAAATTCTATTTGTTACTATTTGACTCTGACTTGATCTACTCCATGCGTTTCTCTGCCCAGGAAGACTCGATCATCTCTGGCTTCATTCACTTCGGCACCGACACAACACCATGGATCACACAGCGGAAGACACGAGCCAAGACCAGAGCAAGAACCTCTCCGCCGGCCCTACCGGTCTTGGAGATCTCGACCCGGAACCGTTTCTCCCCTCTTCGCGAGTCGGAACGCGACGCCACCGTGATCATGGGCTTGTCCATGGTCCGTCATGTCCGTGCTACCTCAGGTAAGGATAAGGTGCGCACTCACTGCTTTCCTGGTGCTCATGTTATTGATGTTG